TCTCTGGCCCCGCCCCCACATACAACTTCACAAACCAGCCACCTGGGTAGCCCTGCCCTGGTGAACACCTAAGGCTCCGCTCCTCATATGTAACAGGCATGAACAGATCAAAACATGGCTCAGGAGCAACTCAGACCCCAGAGCCGATAAATCTAAGCAATGAAGAAACAGCCAAACTTTCAGATACACAGTTCAAAACACTGGTGATCAGGATCCTCACAGAACTGGTTGATTTTAGTCACAAATTAGAGGAATATATGAAGGTTAAACTAATTGAAATGAATGAAAATGCACAGGAAACCAATAGTAATGGAAAGGAAACTGGGACTCAAACCGAAGGAGTGGACCAGAAAGAGGAAAAAAATGACCAAACAGAAAAGGATGAAGAAACAAGAATTCGAAAAAATGAGGAGAGGCTTAGGAACCTCCAGGACATCTTTAAATGTTCCAACATCAGAATTATAGGGGTCCCAGAAGGGGAAGAGGAACAGCCACAAGTGGGAAACTTATTTGAACTAATAATAAAGGAGAATTTCCCCAATCTGGCAAAGGAAATAGACTTCCAGGAAATCCAGGAAGCTCAGAGAGTCCCAAAGAAGTTGGACCCAAGAAGGAACACACCAAGGCACATCATCATTACATTAGCCAAGATTCAAATGAAGGAGAGAATCCCAGAAGCAGCAAGAGATAAGGGGACAGTCACCTACAAAGGAGTTCCCATCAGACTGTCAGCTGATTTCTCCAAAGAGACCTTACAGGCAAGAAGGGCCTGGAAAGAAGTATTCCAAGTCATGAAATCCAAAGATCTACATCCAAGACTGCTCTATCCAGCAAACTTTCACTTAGAATGGAAGGGCAGATAAAGTGCTTTTCAGATAAGGTCAAATTCAAGGAGTTCATCATCACCAAGCCCTTATTATATGAAATGTTAAAGGGACTTACTTAAGAAAAAGAAGATAAAAAAGATGAACAGTGAAAGGACAGCAAACTCACAGTTATTAACAACCACAGCTAAAACAAAAGGAAAGTAAGAGAACAGCTAGGTCAGGAGCAGAACCATAGGAATGGAGATAACTTGGAGGGTTAGCAACAGGGAAGTGGGAGGAGGAGAAGGGGGGAAAAGATGCAGAGAATCGGTAGCATAGACAGTAGGTAGAAAATAGACAGGGGGAGGGCAAGAATAGTATGGGAAATACAGAATCTAAAGAACTTGAGACACATGGACATAAACTAAAGGGGGGATGGTGGGGGAGGGAGTGTGCAGGGTGGAGGGAAATGCAGGCAGAGAAATGGGACAACTGTAATGGTATAATCAAAATATATTTAAGAAAAAGTTTTAATCTGTGGAAGGCTGTCAAACATATCTGACCAAAGATTATATGTCATTATGAAACAATATTAAATTGTTTATTTCCACAAAGTGACAATAATTGTATTAAACATAAATACAGGTCAGCAAACTTTAATTCTTATGATAAAGAATATGGGTTTTGAAGTAATAAAGTACCTGATTAACACAATATAACACATAGTTACTTAAATTATTGATTTATTTATTTTTAGAGAGAGGAGAAGGGAGTGAGAATGAGAGGGAGAGACCATCAATATGTGGTTGCCTCTCTTGCACCCTCACTGGGAACCTGGCCCACAATCCAGTGAGGGTACATGCTGGCATGTACCTGGGTATCAAACCAGCAGCACTTTAGTTTGGAGGACAGCACTCAATCCACTGAGCCACACCAGCCAGGGCCACATAACCATTTAAAAAATATACATAGAGTCTTGACTTCTGGTCAAGATGGACATGTCGGTAAACATGCTTTGCCTCCTTGTGCAACCACAGAAAGAATTACAAGTAGACCTCAAAACAAATAACACTGAGAACTGTAAAAAGATCGAGTTGTATGGAACTCAGACAACCAAGAATTTAAAGAAGCAACACCCATCCAGATGAGTGTCTTTTCTGCAATAGGCCACACTACTAAGATAGGGAGCCAAAGCAACTCTATCTAATATACAGAAACAAACACAGGGAGGCTGCTATATTGAGGAGACAAAGAAATATGGCCCAAATGAAAGAATAGAACAAAACTTTAGAAAAAGAACTAAACAAAATGGAGATAACTAACCTATCAGATGTAGAGATCGAAACACTGGTGATCAGGATGGGTGAAGGGCTCATTGTGTACAGCAACAAAATAAAAAAGACCCAGGAAGTAAGGAAGTTTACACTAAGTGAAATAAAGAAAAATCTACCCTGGCTGGTGTAGCTCAGTGGATTGAGCGCCAACAGAAGGGTTCGCCCCAGCAGGGATGGAAAGGAACTATTAATGTTTCTTCCCTCTCCTTCCCTTCCCTTAAATAAATAAAATAAGAAAAAAGAAAAATCTAGAAGGAACCATCAGGAAGGGATGAAGCAGGATTCAGATCAACAATTTGGAATATAAGAAAGAAATAATCATTCAACCAGAACAAGAAGAAAAAAGAATTAAAAAATACAAGGATAGTATAAGGGGTCTCTGGGGCATCTCCAAATGTAGCAACATCTGAATTATAGGGATGCCAGAAGGAGAAGAGGAAGAACGAGAAATTGAAAATTTATTTGAAAAAATGATGAAAGAAAACTTCCCTAACTTGGTGAAGGAAACAGACATACAAGTCCAGGAAGCGCAGAGAATCCCAAATAAGTTTGACCCAAAGAGGACCACACCAAGACACATCATAATTAAAATGCCAAAAGTTAAAGAGAGGATCTTTTAATTAATTAATTTATTTATTTATACTTTTTTTTTTTGCCCATTATCACATCACTGATTCAAGTGAAACAACACGACATGCTGCCACTTCACCCAAAAGTGGTGTTTTCACTTTGCCCTTTCTTGACGGCTCAGTGGGTCATTAGCGAAAGGCCCAACGAATGCTTTTTGAAGGGGTAAAGAGAGAATCTTAAAAGGAGCAAGAGAAATGCAGAGAGTTACCTACAAAAGAGTTGCCATTAAACTGTCATTGATTTCTCAAAACAAACTTTGTAGGCTAGAAGGGATTGACAAGAAGTATACAACAGTAATGAAAGGCAAGGACCTACATCCAAGATTACTCTATCCAGCAAAGCTATTATTTAGAATGGAAGGGCAGATTAAGTGCTTCCCAGACAAGGCAAAGCTAAAGGAGTTCATCATCACCAAGTGCTCATTACATGAAATGTTAAAGGACTTATCTCAGAAAAAGAAGATCAAAACTGTAAACATTGAAATGACAACAAATTCACAACTATCAACAACTCAATCTGAAAAAATGAACTAAGCAAACAACCAGAACAGGAACAGAATCAAAGATATGGAGATCATTTGGAGGGTTATCAGCTGGGATAGGGAAGGGGGAGAATGAGAGAAAAGGTTCAGGGATGAAGAAGTATAATTGGTAAGTACAAAACAGACAGGGGGATATTAAGAATACTATAGAAAAGGGAGTAGCCAAAGAGCTTATATTCACATTCTATGGACATTAACTAAGGGGAGGGACTGGTGGAGGGAATGGGGGGAGAAAGGGGACAAGGTGGGGGTGGGAATCAGGAGAACTGTAATACCATAATCAATAAAATATATTAAAAATAAAAATATAGAATCTTTGCTTTCTAGGCAGATATAGTAAAACTTTTCCCCCTTTAACAGACTGAAGACCCAAACAAATTCTGTATTAGATTACTTTCTTGTATTTAGGATAAAAGGGCAGCAGCCACTGGAAAACAGGTCTGTGTGGAGGGTTTGGGGTAGGGATCTGGGGTAGGGGGGCTGCAGTGGATGCTACTTAGTGTCCAGTCAGGTCTTTGCAACGTTCACATTAGCTGCTGGGGCTCTGGTGGTACAAACGACCGCCTTCAGGCCGAGCCAGCTGTCAGTATTGGATGGTGGGATGCCTGTGAAGAGGGAAGTGTTTCAGGTGCTGCAGCAGCTGCACATGGCCATTTTCTCCCAGAGTGCCTCACCTTGCAGGAAGTTCCTGGTGCCTGGCAACAATTTTGGACAAATAGCCATCTTCAGCTTGTGTGCTGCTTTGAGCTCCGAGGCCAAAGAAGAACGTAAAAAACCCACAGTGACCTTCCAAGCCCATGACGGGCCCGTCTACAGAATGGTCTCCACCGATCGACATCTGTTCAGTGCTGGAGATAGGGAGGTGAAGGCCTGGCTTTGGGTGGAGAGCCTCAAGAAGGACCAGCCAGGAAGTGTCTGAGATCAATGCTTTGCTTTTCATCCCCAAGGAGAATTCCCTCATTTTGGCAGGAGGCAGACTGCCAGTTGCTTACAATGGACCTAGAAATGGGGACCTTCACGCAGGCACTCCAGGGCCACACACACTACATCCACTGCCTGGCACTTTGGAGTGAAACTCCGAGGTGCTAATAGGCAGTGAAAATGGGGCTGTGGGGCTTTGGGACCTCCACGTGGCCAAGGAGGTCAAGACAGTCGAGGTCTACAAGCACAAGGAGGTGTGCACAAGCAGAGGTCTCTGCTCAAGGCCCCACAACCGGTGCTGATGATCGCATGTTTGGCAACTGACTCAGACTGGATGGTCTGTGGAGGGAGCCCAGCACTCACCCTCTGGCACCTCTGATCCTCCACACCCACCACCATCTTCCCCATGTGGGCACCACAAAAGCATGTCACCTTCCACCAAGACCTGATTCTGTCAGCTGGCCAGGGCCCCTGTGTCAATCAGTGGCAGCTGAGTGGGCAGCTTAAGGCTCAGGTGCCTGGCTCCTCCCTAGGACTGCTCAGCTTCAGCCTCAATGAACAACCAGCAGCACCAGAGTGCAGGATGCTGACAGCTGCAGGTAGTAGCTGCCAGGTAGATGTATTCACCAATTTGGGCTACTGTGCCTCCTCCTCTTTTAGACCTGCAGCAACTCCCTCTCCCTGCATTCCACGGGTCTGGACTAGTTTTTCTCTTTACAAATAAAATTTCAGGCTTTTTCAAAAAAAGATGACTGGACTTCCGCCATGATGGAGGTGTAGGTGAAAGCACTGTGCCTCCTCCCACAACCAAGTTTAAAAACAACAAAGTTTTAGCAACAAAAACTCAGCCAAAACCACAGAAAATTGAACTCCCTGGAAGTCTGACAACAACGAACCCTTCAGCCAAACTCATAAGAGGGGCAGAGCCAGCAGCAGAGCAGGGTCAGGCAGGAAAGATCCACCGGACCTAGCTGGGCCCACAACCCAGGCGCACAGGCAGCAGTAGGTGGATCCCAGGTGTGGAGAAGCGGGTGGACCCACTGAGGGCGGAAGGCGGTGGACTCACTAAGGGCTGACCACGGTTACACATTTGCGCGCAGATAAACTGGTGAAGGAAGGAGTAGTGAGACAGACCGTGCAGGGCCCAGTGGCAGGAAGTGGCAGAGGGGACCACCATTGTCCCTCTCTGACCCCGTCCCCACCTGCAGCGTCAAAAACCAGTGACCTGGGTGGCCCCGCCCTGGTAAATACCTAAGGCTCTGTTCCTCATATGTAACAGGCATAAACAGAGCAAAACATTATGGCTCACGAACAATTCAAAGCCCCAGAGCCCATAACTCTAAGCAACCAAGAAACAGCCAAACTTTCAGATACACAGTTCAAAACACTGGTGATCAGGATGCTCACAGAACTGGTTGATTTTAGTAACAAATTAGAGGAACATATGAAGGCTAAACTAATTGAAATGAAGGGAAATGCACAGGAAACCAGTAGTAATGGAAAGGAAACTGGGACTCAAATCAAAGGAGTGGACCAAAAAGAGGAAAAAAATGACCAAACAGAAAAGGATGAAGAAACAAGAATTCAAAAAAATGAAGAGAGGCTTAGGAACCTCCAGGACATCTTTAAATGTTCCAACATCAGAATTATAGGGGTACCAGAAGGGGAAGAGGAACAGCCATGAGTGGAAAACTTATTTGAACTAATAATAAAGGAGAATTTCCCCAATCTGGCAAAGGCAATAGACTTCCAGGAAATCCAGGAAGCTCAGAGAGTCCCAAAGAAGGTGGACCCAAGAAGGAACACACCAAGGCACATCATAATTACATTAGCCAAGATTAAAATGAAGGAGAGAATCCTAGAAGCAGCAAGAGCTAAGGGGACAGTCACCTACAAAGGAGTTCCCATCAGACTGTCAGCTGATTTCTCCAAAGAGACCTTACAGGCAAGAAGGGGCTGGAAGGATGTATTCCAAGTCATGAAATCCAAAGACCTACATCCAAGATTGCTCTATCCAGCAAACTTTCATTTAGAATGGAAGGGCAGATAAAGTGCTTCTCAGATAAGATCAAATTTGAGGAGTTCATCATCACCAAGCCCTTATTATATGAAATGTTAAAGGGACTTACCTAAGAATAAGAAGATAAAAAGATGAACAGTGAAAGGACAGCAAACTCACAGTTATTAACAACCACACCTAAAACAAAAGGAAAGTAAGAGAATAGCTAGATCAGGAGCAGAACCATAGAAATGAAGATCACATAAAGGGTTAGCAACAGGGGAGTGGGAGAAGGAGAAGGGGGGAGAAGGTACAGAAAATAAGTAGCATAGACAGTAGGTAGAAAATAGATGGGGGAAGGGCAAGAATAGTAGGGGAGATATAGAATCTAAAGAACTTGAGACACGTGGTCATAAACTAAAGGGGGGGAAATGGTGGGAGAAGGGGTGTGCAGGGTGGAGGGGAATGAAGGGGGGAATAGAACAACTGTAATGGCATAATCAATAAAGTATATTTTTTAAAAGTAAATAAAAATAAATTAAAAATAGAATACTTTTTGGTATTTAGATTCATTTACCTAATTATATTCATTATTCAGCTTGGTTACATAAGTTCCTTCCAAGATCTCTCTTTATAAATCTTCTTCAACGCTCACAGACTCTGTGATGTATATAATCTTTCTGCAATTTACATAGTCCCTTTTAGTTTCCTTCTTATAAGTCATTTAGAAATAACCAACTTAGGAACAAATTATTTTTCTTTTACATCAGTAAGTGTTTTCATATTTTATACTTATTATTACCAAATTATACAATTTCTTTTCAACCTAATTAGAATTCCTAATCCTTATAAATCTTGATTTTAGCAACAATTAAAAGTAATTAGCATTCTTTAGATTGATGCTTTTATAAATACACTTCATAACTTTTATAAACAGGTTTTCTTCCCCCACTGGCAAACATGTTGACATTTTCAAAAGACATACTTATTTCAAATAAAGTATTTATTTTTTAAAATAATTTTTATTTTTATTTCTTAGTTTATTGTTATTTTTAGAGAGAGGGTAAATGAGGGAGAGAAATATCAATATGTGGTTGCCCTTCACATGCCCTCTACTAACTGGGCCTCAACCCAGGTGTGTGCACTGACTGGGAATCAAACTGGTGACCTTTTTGGTTTGCAGGCCAGCACTCACTCCACTGAATCACAATAGCCAAGTATAATATATTTATTAACAAATCCATTTTCTAGCTTCTCAGCAATAAGAAGCGAAAGCAGGTAAATTCGGAGGAATAAATATTTTAACATGCTGTTATTTCAAATATCTAGATATTTAAAAATTTTCACCATTTAACCCAGCAAAACTCCAAAGTTCCAAGTCACTCAAGACTTTGGAAAACTATGTTTAGGTATCTTTACCATTATTACTGAAAATCTTTATTAAAACCTTTTTATTTTAATGACATTCATTTATGGAGATTTTAAAGTCAGTTATTACCCAAGCCATTTTCTTGACAAATTTGTAACAGAGATAAATAACATGAACATATTCCTGCAAACCCAGGGAAAACAAACATATATTTTATGTTAATATGTTAAGATGATGTCAATTAAATTTAAACTGTTCTAATTATATTATTGATGGCTTGACTTTTTCTGGACAGACCTCATATACCTATTTTTTGTTTTCAGACTGGCAAACATTATATTTTTTGGTGTGCTACAGAATTTTAGTAATTAGTTTATGTGTGCCATGAGATGAAAAGGCTGAAATTTCTACTTTTAGAAATAGTGTGGCAAATTAAAAAGAGGTATGTGGTACGCAGAGGTGAAATGCTGCTCATTTGTGTTTAGATAAGTCTGAAGCATGAGGCAAGAGAGGCCATTTGTATGGAAAATACATTGAAATTGGCTTTGGTGTGCTCTCCAAGTTCAGGGGATAGGGTGTCAGGGTGGGGCAAATAGTGTGAGCCAGGTTGATGGAGACTCAAATATCATGCCTGTCTGCTGGTTCTGCGGTGGTAGTGGTGGGGTCTCAGAAAAGGAACAATGGCTTATGCCATTTTTTTCTGGCAAAGTATAGCCCCTCAACTCTCACCCTGATGCCAGACAATTTGGTTCTTTCCAGGTTCCTTTCAAGCTGCTACTCCAGTACTGGAGGTCAGAGACAGTGAGTTTGAGTAAGTCCAGCATGTGGTCTCATGCCTGGCACTAGCAACAGCTGATCTTATTTTGTAGTGTGGCCTATCTTTGGTACCTCCAAGCCCAGTACAAGGAGCGGAGATCTGTAGATTGCTCTATAGCATCTACCAGGTAACCCTACAAAGGGCACAGGCAGTGGCCTACCTTGCACCTCCTGGGATGCCCCAGAACCAGTGCACCTAGAGGACAGCTTCAAACCATGCTGGATTAAAACCCTACCACTTCCATGAGTAATACACTTAAGAGGTGAAGTTGGTGAGCACCAAAGCCTCACTGAAGTAAGTCCTGCTTTGCAGGGTCAACTCCTGCATAGCAACTCCTCCCCTGTAGTTGCAGCAGGTCCTCACAGCCAATTGGCCTGGGGGTCAATCCCTCCCAGTGATGCCAACAGTAGTCAAGGCTCAACTACAACAGGACAATGCACACAGCCCACACAGGGCACAAGTGGAGTGCCCATCTCAAGTTACTGTGGAGGCTGTGCCATTGGACCTACAGGACACCTACTATATTCCCAAGGCCACTCTACCAAGTACAGGAGACATAGACACTCTAATACATAGAAACAAACACAGGAGAGCAGGCAAAATGCAGAAACAAAGAAACGCAGAAACAAACAAAAACAAAAAACAAAATGCTGTTTTTTTCATTTCTACCAAGTGAAAAAAAGAGCAGAAATGTCCAGAAAAAAATGGAGGCAAGCAAATGAAATGGAGGCAAGCAAACTACCAGATTCAGCATTCAAAACAATGGTTATAATGATGCTCAAGGAACTTAATGAGACCTTCAATAGCATAAAAAATGTCATAGAAACCATAAAAAAAGAACCAGTCAGAAGTGAATGATACACTAACTGACATGAGGAACAATTTACAGGGTATCAACATTAGAGTAGATGAAGGAGAGAATCAAATCAGTAATTTGAAAATTAAAGTAAGCAAAAAGTATCAAATCAGAATAGCAATAAGAGAAAAAGAATACAATAATAATAATAATAATAATAATAATAATCTATAAGGAACCTCTGGAACAAGTGTACAAGCATTTGCATCATAAAGGTACCAGAAGGAGCAGAGGGAGAAAGAAATTGAAAACCTTTTAAAAAATGGCAGAAAAACCCTAATTTGTTAGAATAAGTAGACATAACAGGCCAGGAAGCACAGATAGTCCTTTTTTTTTTTAGATTAAATTTAATATAATCTTTTTTTAATTTAATTTTTTAATAATTGCAAATTATCTTTTTATTTTATTTTATTTTTAAATTAATTTTATTGATTATGCCATTAGACTTGTTCTATTTCCCCCCTTCATTCCCCTCCACCCTACACACCCCCTCCCCCACCATTCCCCCCTTTAGTTTATGACCACGTCTCAAGTTCTTTAGATTCTATATTTCCCATACTATTCGTGCAAAATATTTAACTCTTGAGTTCCTTTTTTTAGTTTTAGTTTTGTTTTGTTTTACTACATGTGGTACTTTCTTATAACATTTTTTAAAATTTAATTATTTTTGAAGTACAGTTTTCTTTTACTCCCATGCCAGTGCACCCCCCCCAGTGCTCCCCACCTCCCTCTCATTTCCACCCACCTTAGTTGTTGTCCATGTGTCCTTTATACTAGTTCCTGTAAATCCTTCCCTTTTCCCCCCGAAATTTCCTTCCCTCTCCCCTCTGGTCACTGTCCCCCTGTTCTCTATTTCAATGTCTTTGGTTATATTTTGCTTCCTTGTTTGTTTTGTTGTTTAGCTTCCTGTTAAAGGTGAGATCATATGGTATTTGTCTTTCACCACCTGGCTTATGTCACTCAGCATAATGCTTTCCACCCATGCTGTTGCAAAGGGTAGGAGCTCCTTCTTTCTTTCTGCTGCATAGAATTCCATTGTGTAAATGTACCATAGGTTTTTGATCCATTCATTTACTGCTGGGCACCTAGGTTGCTTCCAACACTTGGCCATTGTAAATTGTGCTGCTATGAACATAGGGGTGGCATAGGTTCTTTTGGACTGGTGTTTTAGGGTTCTTAGAGTATAATCCTAGCAGTGGAATTGCTTGGTCAAAAGGCAGATTCATTTTTAGTTTTCTTAGAAAATTCTATACTGTTTTCCATACTGGTTGTACCAGTCTGCCATCCCACCAAGAGTGAACTAGGGTCCACTTCTCCCCACAACCTTTCCAACACTTGTTGTTTGTTGCTTTGTTTATGATGGCCATTCTGACCTGTGTGAAGTGGTATCTCATTGTGGTTTTAATTTGCATCTCTCTGATACTAGTGATATTGAGCATCTTTTCATGTGTCTCTGGATCCTCTGTATGTCCTCCTTGGAGAAGTGACTGTTCAAGTCCTTTGCCCACTTTTTAATTGGATTGCTTCTTTTCTTAGAGTGGAGTCATTTGAGTTCTTTATATATTTTGGAGATTAAACCCTTGTCTGAGGCATCATTGACAGATATGTTTTTCCATATAGTTGGTTCTTTTTATTTCAATACTGTTTTCTTTACCGTGCAGAAGCTTTTTAATTTAATGAGGTCAAACCCATTTGTTTATTCTTTCCTTTATGTTCCTGTTCTAGGGGACATATCAGTAAAAATGTTGCTGTGTGAAATATCTGAGATTTTCCTGCCTCTGTTCTCCTCTAGAATTTTAATGGTGTCACAGCTTATATTTAAGTCTTTTATCCACCTTGAATCTATTTTAGTGTATGGTGTAAGTTGGTGCTTGAGTTTCATTTTTTTGCACGTAGCTGTCCAGTTCTCCCAACACCATTTGTTAAAGAAGCTATTTTTATGCCATTTTAAGTTGCTGCCTCCTATGTTGAATATTAATTGACCATAGAGACTTGGGTTTATTTCTGGGCTTTCTGTTGTGTTCCACTGTGTCTGCTGTTTTGCCAGTAGCAGATTGTTTTGATTACAGTGGCCTTGTAATACAGTTTGGTGTCAGGTATTGTGATCCCTCTTACCTTGTTCCTCTTCCTCAAAATTGCAGCAGCTATTCAGGGTCTTTTATGGTTCCACATAAATTTTTAAAGTGTTTGTTCTATGTCTGTGAAGTATATCATTGGTACTTTAATAGGGATTGCATTGAATCTCTAAATCGCTTTGGGTAGTATGGACATTTTGATGATGTTAGTTCTTCTGGCCCATGAACAAGGTATATGTTTCCATCTGTTTGTGTCTTCCTTTATTTCTTTCTTTAGTGTTGTGTAGTTTTCTGCATACTGGTCTTTTACCTCCTTGGTTAGGTTTATTTCCTATTTTATTTTTCTTTTTGCTATATTGAATGGGATTTTTTTCTTGATTTCTGCTTCTGCTGTTTCAATGTTGGTATACAACAATGCCTTTGATTTCTGGATATTGACTTTGTATTCCACTGTATTGCTACATTCATTTATTAGGTCGAGCAGTTTTTTGGTGGAGTCTACAGGATTTTCCATGTACACTATCATGTCATCTGCAAACAATGACAGTTTTGTTTCCTCCTTTCTTATTTGGATGCCTTTTCTTGTCTGATTGCTGTGGCTAAAACTTCCAATACTATATTGAATAGAAGTGGTGAAAGTGGACAACCTTGTCTTGTTCCTGATCTTAGTGGAAAAGGTTTTAGTTTTTGCACATTGAGTATGATGTTCACTGTAGGTGTCTTGTATATGGCCTTTATTATGTTGAGAAACAAGATACCTAAACAAGATAAAACATTTCAAACAAACAGCCTAACCCTACACCTACAAGAACTTAAGGAACAACAACAAAGACAGCCCAGAGCAAGTAGAAGGAAGGAAATACCAAGATCAGAGCAGAATTAAATGACATAGAGACTAAAAGCTGTGTTTTTATGAGAAATGGGTGCTATACCTTATCAAATGCTTTTTTTGCATCTATTGATATGATCATGTGATTTTTGTCTTTGCTCTTTTTAATGTGATTTATTACATTTACTTATTTGTGAATATTGAACCATCCTTTCATCACTGGAATGAATCCCACTTGGTCATGGTGTATGATGTTTTTAATGTATTGTTAGATACAGTTTGCCAATATTTTATTGAGAATTTTAGCATCTATGTTCATCAGAGATATTGGCCTGAAGTTTTCTTTCTTTCTTGTGTCTTTATCTTGTTTTGGGATTAGGATGGTGCTGGCTTCATAAAAAGAGTTTGGGAGTCTTCCATGATTTTGGATTTTTTGGATAGTCTGAAGAATCAGAATTAGCTCTTCCTTAAATGCTTTGTAGAATTCTCCTGTGAAACCATCTGGTCCAGAGCTTTTGTGTGTTGGGAGTTTTTTGATTATTGCTTCAATTTCATATGCTGTTATTGGTCTGTTCAGGCTTTCTGCTTCTTCTTCATTGAGCTTTGGAAGATTATATTTTTCTAGAAATTTGTCCATTTAATCTAGGTTTTCAAATTTCTTGGCATACCGTTCTTCATGTTAACATTTTACAATCCTTTGTATTTCTGTGTTATCAGTTGTAATCTCTTCTCTTTCTTTTCTGATTGTGTTTATTTGGGTCCTCTCTCTTTTCTTCTTGATGAGCCTACTTAAAGTCTTGTCAATTTTATCTTTTCAAAGAACCAGCTTCTGAATTCATTGATCCTTAGAATTGTGCTTTTAAGTCTCTATGTCATTTAATTCTGCTCTGATCTTGGTATTTTCTTCCTTCTACTTGCCCTGGGCTGTCTTTTTTTTGTTTTTTTAAGTTCTTGTAGGTGTAGGGTTAGGCTGTTTGTTTGAAATGTTTTATGTTGTTTAGGTAGGCCTGTATCACTATGAACTTCCCTCTCAGGACTGCCTTACCTGTGCCCCATAAGTTTTGGGTTGTTGTGAGTTCATTTTCATTTGTTTTCAGAACCTTTTTTATTTATTCTCTAATTTCGTTCTTGACCCATTCATTGTTTAATAGCATGCTGTTCAATCTCCATGCTTTTGAATGTTTGGGTTTTTTTCCTTTGGCTTGGTTTCTAGCTTCAGTCCCTTGTGGTCAGAGAAGATGCTTGGTATGATTTCAATTTTCTTGTATTTCTTGAGGCTTGTTTCGTGTCCTATCATGTGGTCTATATTTGAAAATGTTCCATGTGCATTTTAAAAGAATGTGTATTTAGCTCCTTTGGGATGAAGGACTCTATATATATCAGTTAAGTCCATTTTATCTAGGGCATTGTTCAATGCCACAATATCTTTGTCAATATTTTGTTCACAAGATATGTCCATTTTTGACTGTGGGGTGTGAAAAATCCCATACTATAATTGTGTTGCTGTCAATATCTTTCTTGAAGTCCTCTAAGATTTTCTTTATATATTTGGGTGCTCCTATGTTGGGTGCACATATATTTACGATATTTATGTCTTCCTGGTGGATTCTTCCTTTGACTATTATGAAGTGACCCTGTGGGTCTCTCTTTATGGCCCTTTTTTTGAAGACTATTTTGTCTGATATGAGTATTGCTACCTTAGCTTTTTTTCTCTATTTGTTTGCTTGGAAAATTTTTTCCCAGCTCTTTACTTTCAGTCTGTGTAGGTCTTTTGTCTTGAGATGGGTCTCTTGAAGGCAGCATGTGTGTGGGTCATGATTTCTTATCCATTCATCTGTTCTATGTGTTTTGATTGGAGAATTTAAGCCATTTACATTTAAGGTTATTATTCATAGGTACTTATTCATTGCCATTTTGGTACCTGTCTTCTTCTCTCTTTCTTTTCCTTTCTTTCTTTAAAGCAGTTCCTTTAGCATGTCTTGCAGAATTGGTTTGGTGGAGGTGTATTCTTTTAGACTTGTTTTGTCTGAGAAGCTCCTTATTTGGCCTTCTATCTTGATTGAGAGCTTTGCTGGGTAAGGTAGCCTTGGTTGTAGGCCTCTGGTTCTCATTACTTGGAATATTTCTTGACATTCTCTTCTTGCTTGGAGGGTTTCTACTTAGAAGTGAGCTGCTAACCTTATTGGGGTGCCTTGTATATTATTTCCTTTTTTCCCCTTGCCTCCTTTAGGATTCTTTCTTTGTCTTGGAATTTTGCCATTTTATTATGATGTGTCTTGGAGTGGGCCTCTTTGGGTTCCTTTTGATTGGGAGTCTCAGTGTTTCCTGGATTTGTGTGACTTTTTCTCTCATCAAATTAGGGAAGTTTTCCATCATTACTTTTTCAAATAGGTTTTCTATCCCTTGCTCTTCTTCTTCTCCTTCTGGTAACCCTATTATTTGGATATTTTTACATTTCATATTGTCTTGTATTTCTCTTAATCCCTCTATATTCTTTCTGACATTCTTTTCTATTTTTTGCTCTTTTTGTGTGTTTTTTTCTACTTTGTCCTCCAGCTTGCTGATCCGATCTTCTGCTTCATTGATCCTGCTTTTGATTCCTTGTACTCTGGTTTTGAGTTCAGATATTGTATTCTTCATTTCCTCTTGGCCCTTGTTGATAGTTTCTATTTGCTTTTTTATGTTGATACAGTTTTTAGAGAGTTCATTGTAATTTTCCTGTAGTTTCTGGTAATTTGCTGTGAGCTCATGGAGCTTCCTAATAACCATTGCTTTGAACTCAATATCTGATAGTTGAGTTACCTCTATTTCATTTACTATTCTTTCTGAGGCTTCCTTTTTTCCTTTCATTTGGGGATTGTTTCTTTGTCTTCCATTGTTTGTGAGACTCTTCTTGTTAGCCTCAGGTTCTTAAATTGATCTGTTCTGACTCCCTGGTTTTGTGGTGTGAATTCTGTGGTAAAATACCTGTGCGATTCAGTGGTGCAGTCTCTTTACAGTATCCTGGTGTTCACCGCTTCCATCTACTCTTTTTGTGATCATTTGGAAGAGTAAGGCAAAATGGTTTAAGACAGCAAGAGAGTATTCTATGCTATTTAGAGTAGCAGCCAGTAGAGAAGAGATAGGAGATCCTTTGGCTGTATATAGTGTTAACCGTGATCTTCAGCCCAACTAACCACCTTTTAGAAAGGATGGAAAGAAGGTAAGATTCTTGTTGGGGAGGGAAGAATTGTGAGTTGGATCTAGAAAGCAGTGAGGTTGTGGGAGATCAGATTCTGAGGTCAGGTGAGAGTAAAGAATAGTAAATAGATGTAGTGTGTGAGAGAATATAGAGTTATCCACTACAGTAATAGAGTTCAGGAAACTGTGAAGTGGGCTAAGAACTGGGAGGCACGCGGTGTAGTGTTTATGATAGTATGGAACAGCTATTATTTATAATAATATTAGAGCAATGATCATATGACAGAATCTATGAGATCTAGATAACAAGAATAGGGAGTATTTGGCCTTCAGTAGTGTGTGAATGGGACACTCAGAAGTGAAAGACAGTAAATTAGCAATACACTATGAATGAGAGGACTGGGGAAACCTGTCAAATGATACAATATAACCAGCAAAGCAAAGAAGACTAAACAAAAAGAAGAGGAATAGAAAAATATCATTCAGGACTTCCGCCAAGATGGAGGTTTAGGTGGATGTGCCGTGCCTCCTCACACAACCAAGTTTAGGGACAACTAAATATTAGCATCAGAAAACACAACCAGAACACGGAAAACTGAACTTTTCGGAAGTCCACTAACAACAAATTCTTCAGCCCGACCTGTAAGGGGCGAAACCAGCTTCGGGTGAGGAGTTGCAAAGGAGGGCTCGGTCGGACCCGGGCGCGGAATCCAGACTCGCGAATCCAGTCGCACGGGTTCCAAACCCAGGATTGGACCTAGTGAGCGACCGAGCAACCCACCGGGTGAGCGACTACAGAGGAGACAGTGGGGAGACGGTGCAGCGAGTTGACTGTGGTTGCCTAATTGCGCGCGAGTGAGCGGTTGGACCGGCAGCGGCCGCACGGGCAATAGAGGGCTCCGCCATTTCCCCGCTCTGACCACGCCCCCACATACAGCGTCACAACCCAGCGACCTGGGAGTCCAAGGCGCCGCTTCTCCCACTTAAAGGGCCAGAACAGACCAAAAATGTCGCAGGGAGAACTCAAAGCCCCAGAGATAAATCTAAGTGACGAAGAAATAGCAAAACTCTCAGACGCACAGTTTAAAACACTGGTCATCAGCTTCCTCACAGATCTGGTGGATTATAGCCACAAATTAGAGAAACATATGAAGGCTAAATTAAGGGAAATGAATGGAATTCCACAGGAAACCCATAGAGATGAAAAGGAAACTGGGACTCAAATCAATGGAGTGGACCAGAAGAAAGCAAATAATGGCCAAACAGAAAAGAGTCAAGGAGGAAGAATTCAAAGAAATGAGGAGAGTCTTAGGAACCTCCAGGACATCTTTGAACGCTCCAATATCCGAATTATAGGGGTACCAGAAGGGGGAAAGACACAACCACCAGTGGAAAAACTATTTGAACAAATAATAAAAGAAAATTTCCCCAATCTGGCAAAGGAAATAGACTTCCAAGAAATCCAAGAAGCCCAGAGAGTACCAAAAAAGTTGGACTCAAGAAGAAACACACCAAGGCATATCATAATTACGTTAGCCAAAATTAAAATGAAGGAGAGAATTCTGGAAGCAGCAAGAGCTAAGGGGACAATCACCTACAAAGGAGTCCCCATCAGGCTGTCAGCAGATTTCTCAAAAGAGACCTTACAGGCAAGAAGGGGCTGGAAAGAAATATTCCAAGTCATGAAATCTAAAGACCTACAACCAAGATTGCTCTACCCAGTAAAACTTTCATTTACAATGGAAGGACAGATAAGGTGCTTCTCAGATAAGACCAAATTCAAGGAGTTCATCATCACCAAGCCCTTATTATATGAAATGTTACAGGGACTTATCGAAGAAAAAGAAGTTAAAGAAACATGAACAGTGAAAGGACAACAAACTCACAGTTATTAACAACCACACCTAAAACGAAAGCAAACTAAGAGGACAGCTAGATCAGGAGTGGAAACATAGAAATGAATATCTCAAGGAGGGTTAGCAACAGGGGAGTGGGAGGAGGAGATGGGGGGAGAAGGTATAGAAAACAAGTAGCACAGACAGTAGATAGAAAATAGATGGGGGGGGCAAGAATAGCATGGGAAATATAGAACCTAAAGGACTTGAGACACATGGACATAAACTAAAGGGGGGTAATGGTGGGGTTGGGGGGGCAGGGTGGAGGGGAATGAAGGGGGGAATAGAACAACTGTAACAGCATAATCAATTCAAAAAAATAAATAAATTAAAAAAATTCAAATGAAATATGTAAGAATAATGAAAAAATAATAATACAAATATGTAATAACTTGCAGTTTCTCTGCAATAGCAAAGTGAAATTTGTCTCTTTGTCCCAACTGTTGGGATGCCCCCTCTTTGGGTCCAACTCTGGTCTTTCCACAGTTCCAGGGTTTTTTGTCTCCCTTGTGTAATGGCCATTAGTAGTGGAAACATAGGGATAGCCGTTAGGCATCTGCAGTTCCTGAGACTGGGTAATAAATAATCCTCCGGGAACAGTTGGGTTCAAAAAAAAAAAGAAAATTCTAGCCAAATAAGGTAACTAACCAGGGCCCACCAGCAGCAATACCCACCAATTAGAGAGACCCTCACCGTTTTCAATTTAGCAACCTAGCTAATAGCTAACCGCCACATCTGCTTCTGTAAGCCCGCATTCGCTTGCTCTGCCCTATAAAAACCCCGTAGTTTGTAAGCCACGTGCGGCTTCCATGTTGTAGCTCTGAGAAGCTACCTGACTCCCCAGGGGGGGAAGGAAGCCCGCCCCTGCGCAGGTAAAAACTTTTGGCCAATAAATACCATCATAAGCTCTAAGTTTCTGGACGTCTGATTTCTCGCCCATCGAATGCAACATTTGGAGGCCCCAGCGAGATCCACTTCCCGGGAGGGAGGTTTCGTCCAGAAACTGAGAGAGCGGCCGGGCCCGGTAAGTTCTGGGAGGATCCTCATTCGGTTTCGGTGGTCTAGACCTTTTTAGCCCCAAGGGGGTAGGTAGGACGCTACCGGCAGTCCCCCCGGGGGTTCCCAAGGAGAGGACGCGCTCGGGAATCGGAGCTTGGCTCCCGCGACTAGGTCGCATCTGGTTTGCGCTGCGCTGCGCTGCGCTGCGGGACGTGCCTGAGAGCCGCGGGTCGCCTGTGTGTGATAAGAGAGTGCTTGTTTTTGTGTTTTCTGTTAGTCATAGTTGTCAGTGTTCTCGCCTCTGAGATCCCCGAGGTCGTCCAGCGCATCAGGATGGGCCAGAGTGGATCCGTACATGGGTCGCCCCTCGATTGTCTATTAAATAATTTTTCTGATTTTCAGAGGCGAGCGCAGGGTTACGGCGGACCAGCACCTGATCCTGAAATCCTCCGGACCCTCAGTGAACTGGAGTGGCCGACTTTTGGTGTTGGGTGGCCCTCCGAAGGAACCTTTGATTTGCCCCTTCTGTTCGCTGTCAGAGGGGTAGTGTACCGGGTGCCCCACCCCGATCAAATAATATATATAAATGTCTGGGTGGACATTGCAGCGGACCGCCCGGGATATATACGGCGGTGCCAGAGTAAAGGGCGGAGGGAAAGGCGGGCAGTGTGTCTGGCGGCACCCCGAGGCGGAGGCAACAGGCCTAGAGGGGCCCCGGGACGCTCGCCGCAGCAGACGCCACCGGAAAAAGGGGGGGGCCAAGGCTTTACCCCGTCTTGCAAGGGGACTCTGAGGAGTTCTTAGATTCCCCTTTGGCACCCCCTCCCTACTCGCAGCCTCAGCCTGACACCACCAGGGGGGAGGGAGGGCAGCCTCAGCCTGACACCACCAGGGGGGAGGGAGGGCAGCCTCAGCCTGACACCACCAGGGGGGAGGGAGGGCAGCCTCAGCCTGACACCACCAGGGGGGAGGGAGGGCAGCCTCAGCCTGACACCACCAGGGGGGAGGGAGGGCAGCCTCAGCCTGACACCACCAGGGGGGAGGGAGGGAGCCTCAGCCTGACACTCCCCAGAGGGAAGGAGTGCAAAGTCCTCCACACACAAGGGGAGGAAGTAGGTACGGGGGAAGGGAGGCACCGCCCCAGGGCAGCGCCGCCCTCTTACCCCTTAGGGAAGTACCGCCAGCGCCAGATGCACCCCCCCCCCGCGGGCACCACTCCGGCTGATTTATGTCCCCTTTTCAACCAGTGATTTATACAATTGGAAACATCAAAACCCTCCGTTTTCAGAAAAGCCGCAGGGGCTGATTTCCTTGCTAGAAACTATTTTCAGGACTCATCAGCCCACCTGGGATGATTGTCAGCAGATTTTGCAGACCCTCTTTACCTCGGAAGAACGGGGTAGGATAATGAGGAAGGCCGCGAAGGCAGTGATGGGGGAAGAGGGAGAGACAGCATATGGGAGGCGGGAAGTGCAAGACATTTTACCCGAGGATCCCCCTGATTGGGACCCAAATTCGAGTGGGGGAAGGGAGGCGCTACTCCAGTACCCCCGGGCTCTGCTTAGAGGGCTAAAGGCAGCAGCTAAGAAACCAACAAATTTTAGCAAGATTAGTGAGATAATACAAGGAAGGGAAGAGTCTCCCGCGGCATTTTTGGAGAGACTTACAGAAGCCTACAGAGTCTATACCCCACTCGACCCAAGAGCTCCAGAGAACTGGAGGCTGCTGAATATTGCCTTCGTAACCCAGGCTGCCCCAGATATTAGAAAGAAGTTACAAAAAATAGAAGGGTTTGAAGGAGAAAATATCAGTAGATTAGTAGAGATCGCCCAGAAAGTGTATGTGAACAGGGACGACCCAGAAATAGGGAGGGCAAAGGAGGTTGCAAAAATCCTGATTGCAGCCCAAAAACCCCCTCCCAAGAATCAGAAAAGGGAAAGGAGACACAGGAATCAGAGGCAGTCATTAGACAAAGACCAGTGTGCATTCTGCAAGGAGAAAGGCCATTGGAAACGAGAATGCCCCAAGAAGATGGAGCAGGGGCGGGACCTGCTGTGCTGCTCCAAACCTTGGACTGACGGGGCCGGGGCTCCATCCCTGTAGGCTCCCAAGAGCCCATGGTCACTTTAGATGTTGAGGGGAAACCAATAAACTTCCTCGTCGACACGGGAGCCACCTTTTCTGTCCTAAAGCAGCCACAAGGAAAAGTGCAGAAAGCAAAAACTAAGATAGTGGGAGCAACAGGAAAAGAAGAAATATATCCGTGGACCACGGCGCGGATAACGAACTTGGGTTCAGGCACTATTACTCACTCCTTCCTAATCATCCCAGATTGCCCTTACCCCTTACTTGGGAGAGATTTACTGCAAAAACTTCAGGCCACTATTACCTTCCGAGGGAGCGGCCAGCCGGGTGGAGAAGGCCCAGCGGAAGCTAAGCCTGGGGTCCAGCTAGAGGTAACCGTGCCAATCTCAGAGGAGTACTTGCTCGCAGCCCTCCTCGAAGGTAAGGAGGGGGGATGATGTCCCGCAAGACCTGCTTTCTGAGATACCTGGGGTCTGGGCAGAGACCAACCCGCCAGGGCTGGCAGCGCACCAGCCCCCAGTAATCGTCCAGCTGAAGAGCACAGCCAGCCCGGTCAGAGTGCGACAGTATCCCGTCCCAGCTCGGGCTAGGCAGGGCATAGCCCGGCACCTCAAGCGCCTCCTGGAGGCAGGCATCTTGAGGGAATGCCAATCAGCCTGGAACACGCCCTTACTACCAGTCCAGAAACCCGGGACCCAAGATTATCGGCCCGTGCAGGACTTAAGGGAAGTGAATGCCCAAGTAGAAACTATTCACCCCACTGTGCCTAACCCGTACACCCTGTTGAGCTCACTGCCCCCGACCCATGTCTACTACTCAGTACTAGACTTAAAAGACGCTTTCTTTTGTATTCCACTGGCGCCAAAAAGCCAGGAAATTTTTGCATTTGAGTGGGATGATCCAGAAAATGGACTAATTGGGCAATACACCTGGACCCGCCTGCCGCAGGGCTATAAGAACTCTCCCACTATATTTAGTGAAGCCTTGGGCAAGGACTTGCAACCTTTCCGCACCTCTCACCCCTCCGTAGTGCTCTTGCAGTATGTAGATGACCTGCTCGTCGCGGCCACGAGTCCGAAGGAATGTGAAACTGCGACGAAAGACCTTCTGCGAGAGCTAGAGGAGAAGGGGTACCGAGTGTCTGCTAAGAAGGCCCAGATTGCCAGACAGACCGTGAGTTATCTGGGCTATAATCTGCAGGGCGGACAAAGGATGCTATCCAGCCAACGGATTCAGGCCGTGATGCAGATTCCTGAGCCCACCAACAAGAGGCAGGTACGGGAATTTCTGGGGGCCGTAGGATATTGCAGGCTCTGGAGACTAGGCTTTGCGGAGTTAGCCCGGCCTCTCCATGAGTTAACCAGAGGAAAGGAGGACTTTTTCACATGGACACAGAAAGAGAGGCAGGCCTTCCAAGCATTAAAGGAGGCCCTGACCACGGCCCCCGCACTGGCCCTGCCTGACCTGACTAAACCCTTTCAGCTCTTTGTGGCTGAGAAGGGGGGAGTAGCCCTCGGGGTACTAAGTCAAGAGTTAGGGCCATGGAGGAGACCTGTGGCCTATCTATCCAAGAAATTAGACCCCGTGGCCTCGGGTTGGCCGGCCTGCCTCCGGGCATTAGCCGCAACTTCCGTGCTGGTGAAAGAAGCCAGTAAACTGACTCTAGGTCAAGATATTCAGATAATTGGAGAACACTATTTAGAGCAGGTATTGAGAGCCCCGCCTGACAGGTGGCTGTCAAATGCACGGCTTACCCAGTTTCAGGCTCAGCTGTTGAATCCTCCGGCCGTAACGTTTTTGAAAACAACGGCGTTGAACCCAGCCACCTTACTGCCAGCCCCAGATCCCACCATTATTCATGATTGCTCCCATGTGCTGGATGCAGTTCCTGGGTCTCGGCCAGACATGAGGGACCAGGCATATGAGAAGCCAGATCTCACCCTCTACACAGATGGGAGCAGCTATATTCAAGATAGACAACGCCTTGCTGGGGCAGCAGTGACCACTGAGACTGAGGTATTGTGGAAGCAGGCGTTGCCTGCTGGAACTTCGGCGCAGAAGGCTGAGTTAATCGGACTGACTCAGGCCCTGAGGATGGCTGAAGGTAAGGTTGTAAACATTTACACTGACAGCCGATATGCCTTTGCCACGGCCCACATACATGGGGCAATATATAAAGAAAGGGGCCTCCTGACTGCAGGAGGCAAGGACATTAAAAACACAGAAGAAATTTTAGCCCTTCTCGATGCCATTTGGCTCCCTGCTAAGGTAGCCATAATCCACTGCAGAGGGCATCAGCGGGGCGAGACGCCAATCATTAGAGGAAATAACCTTGCAGACGCAGCTGCGAGAGAAGCAGCCGCGCAAAAAAGGAGTGTGCTGCCACTGCTTCCTCATCCAAACCTTCCACCGTCCCCTCACTACACTGCTGAGGAAGAACAACTCGGAGAAAAGTTAGGAGGAAACAAAAACCAAGCTGGGTGGATAGTTTTGCCAGATTCAAGGATATTTTTACCCCAGGGAGTACTAGGGAAGGTAATACAAGACATTCACACCAGTGCCCACTTAGGTCAAAACAAGCTAGACACGCTAGTTAGGAAATATTACCTAGGGCTAGGATTCAGGGATGCAGTTCGTTCAGTAACCGCTAGGTGTCAGGCTTGTGCTAAGGTTAACGCCCAAAATAAGAGATTGCCTCCACTTATTAGATATAGAGGAAAATTTCCTGGAGAACTATGGGAAATAGATTTCACTGAAATGGCAAAGGGCACGTCTAGATACAGATACCTTTTAGTACTAGTAGACACTTACTCTGGGTGGGTAGAAGCCTTTCCCACCAGAGGTGACACTGCGTCCACAGTCTGCAAGTTATTAATAGGAGAAATTATCCCTAGGTATGGAATACCCCTAGCCATAGGATCAGACAATGGGCCCGCTTTTGTATCCAAGGTTTCACAAGAACTTGCCACAAGGCTAAGAATTAACTGGAAACTACATTGTATATACAGGCCCCAGAGTTCGGGTCAGGTAGAAAGAATGAACAGAACCTTAAAGGAAACTTTAATGAAATTAAGGGAAGAGACCGGCGGAAACTGGGTTGAGCTACTCCCTTTCGCCCTCTTCAGGGTAAGGTGTACACCTTATGTCAAGACTTGGGCACCATATGAAATTATGTTTGGACAGCCTATTCCTCTAGTTCCCAAACTCACTGCTGAGGAATTAGAACTAACTAACTCTAACTTCCTCAAGTCCTTGCAGGCTTTGCAGAACATCCGCCGTGAGGTGAGAGCTCTCCAGCAGGAGAGATATCCTAAAGAGCAAGGAGCAGAAGCTCCAGAGCCTGGACAGTGGGTGTGGATCCTGAATCATCGAAGGGGGAGTCTCGAGCCCCGCTGGATTGGGCCGTACCAGGTACTGTTGAGCACACCTTCAGCCGTGCGAGTGGCAGAAAAACCCTACTGGATACATCTTGCCCACATCAAGCCGGCCCCAACACCTGACAAGAGTGAAAAATGGAGTGTACAGCCAGTTTCAGGGGAACCCTTACGAGTAAAATTCTTCAAATCCTGACAATCCTAGTAGTCCTAGGCCCCCTACTGGGAAGGGGGTTTAGGATCCAAGAATGGGTGCTGATCAGGACTGCTGATGGTACTGTGATTGCCACCAACTATACGTGGGGAGGTGCTCCGGTTTCCCTAAAGACTGATTTCTCTAAGTTTTTTGATGATCGGTTCTGTGACTCCCAGGCGGCCATACCTGTTATGAACACCCTCGTCCCCCGCCCAAGGCAAGTCCCATTCTCCCCTTGCGAAAACTCAGCCAAAAATTACGGCCTGTGGTTTATTAGTTCATACGGGTGCCCCGAGACCACTAGAAAAACACAACTCAGGTGTGGAGGGTTTAGAGAATTCTATTGTAAAGCATGGGGTTGTGAAACCCTCGCAATGGGCTGGACGCCAGGAGGAGGGACAGATAAGCACATAAACCCTCCACAGGGAAAGAAGGCCACCCAAACCTGAGGACTGCCGAAAGGACAACTGTAACCCTACCACCATAACTGTCCTAAACCCCGACGCCCCCGACTGGACAAAAGGCCGTACCTGGGGAATAAGACTTTATATAGAAGGAGAAACTGACCCAGGAACCTTCATTACAATTAAAAGGCTACCTTTCGGGAACAGGCCACTACTGAGGGGTCTAGGTGAGGGGCTGCCACCCCGACCTCCTGGACCAGCCAAACCGCCCAGCAGGGTACTTCCCTCAGGGAATCCGTCCCTGACACCTACCCCAACGGGAAGGGAAAGAACTAGCTCAGCCCCCTTACTGACAAGGGGGGCACCGTGGCCCCCAAAGGATGTGCATAGACCACAGGAAAGGACGTCTACCTATGAATTACTTGATAAAGTCTTCCCCTTCCTAAATGAGACCCAGCCAGAAATCACTGAGTCTTGCTGGCTGTGCTTGAGCCCCAGGTCTCCCTTTTATGTAGGGATAGGGATAAACACCTCAGGGATAACATTAGGCACAGTCCCAATCTCAGCTATAGAGAGCTGTGAAGAAGATGGAACATTAACCTTAGATGAGTTCCATGAAAATGGGACCTGCTACATACTAGGAAACTATAATCTCACCTCTTCTGACTATAGCAGTTATTGTTTAAATCAAGTCCACATCACTATCAGCCAGAGTAGTGATCCCCAGTTTCCCAGGGCTCCTGAAGGGGTGTGGTTCATTTGTACCCAAGGAATATTCAAATGCCTGATTCCTACCGGTCCTACCCTGTGTGTTAGTGCATATATTATCCCGCAAGTGTACCTCTATAGAGGGGATCCCACCTTCTTGCTAGAACCACCAAGGCGAGTTAAGAGGAACCCGCTTCTGATCCCCATAATAGCTACCATAGGAATTATAGGCTCGACAGCAGTAGGAGCAGGAGCTTATGTGCATAATGACAATAGCTTGAAGGTGCTTTCCCAGACCTTCTCTAAAGACATTTCCCTGCTACAAGATCAGGTAGTCTACCTAGAAAGGCAAGTCGACTCCCTAGCAGAAGTAGCCCTACAAAATAGAAGAGGGTTAGACCTATTATTTTTCAAACAGGGAGGATTATGTGCAGCCTTAGGAGAAGAATGCTGTTTTTATGCTAATCATTCTGGAGTAATTAAAGAGAGTATTAAAACCCTAACTAAAAGACTTAGAGAAAGAGAAAGTGAACCTGATAGTCCTAACTGGTTTGCCTCTTTATTTAAGACCTCGCCCTGGCTGACCACCCTAATATCAGCTTTAGCAGGACCCTTGATTCTGCTGTTGTTAGCCCTAACTTTAGGGCCTATCATCCTCAAAAAGTTGCTTGCCTTTATAAAAGATAGGGTTAACACAATCAAATTAATGGTCCTGGCTCAACCCTATACCATCCTGCCCCAAGAAGAACAACAGTCAAGGGTTTGACTAGTAACTAGAAAAGGGGGGAATGTAATGGCCATTAGTAGTGGAAACATACGGACAGCCGTTAGGCATCTGCAGTTCCTGAGACTGGGTAATAAATAAACCTCCGGGAACAGCTGGGTTCAAAAATTCTAGCCAAATAAGGTAACTAACCAGGGCCCACCAGAAGAAACACCCACCAATTAGGGACCCTCGCCGTTTTCAACTTAGCAACCTAGCTAATAGCTAACTGCCACATCTGCTTCTGTAAGCCCCCACTCGCTTGCTCTGCCCTATAAAAACCCCGTAGTTTGTAAGCCACGCGCGGCTTCCATGTTGTAGCTCTGAGAAGCTACGTGACTCTGGTCACGGGGAAAGGAAGCCCGGCCCTGCGCAGGTAAAAACTTTTGGCCAATAAATACCATCATAAGCTCTAAGTTTCTGGATGTCTGATTTCTCGCCCATCGAATGCAACACCTTGTGTGTATTAAAAATAAAAAAAAGCAGACTAAGGATGGTAGTAAAGATAAAATTGGAAAGAAAGGAAGAAGAAATAAAACAAGAAAGAAGGAAAGAGTAGCAAAAGGAATTGAGAGAGAAAAAATAATAAAAATTAAAAAATAAATAATTACTTTTAAAAAATCAAAAAAACATAGCCCTGGCTGGTGTAACTCAGTTGTTTGAGTGCGGGCCTGCGAACTAAAGAATCACAGTTCGATTCCCAGTAAGGGCACATGCCTGGGTTGCAAGTCAGTTCCTAGCAAGGGACACACAAGAGGCAACCATACATTGTTATTTCTCTTCCTCTCTCCTTCCCTTCCCCTCTAAAGATATAAAATCTAAAACAAAAACAAAAACAAAAACGAAGAAACAGACAAAAAACAAAAAAGACCTCTTTTTGTTTCAAAGTGGCAAAATCAGTTTTTCTTTTCTTGCTGGTTGCAGCAGGCTGAGGGGTGACTGGTATGCTTTTCTTCTTTCCTGTTCAGCACTCTGTCAGCCTTATGCTCACTCTCCCCAGAGCTAGCCTGGTGCCCCTGTGTAGGGCCCTGGGTGTGGACTCTGGACCTCCTGAGATGTGGGCAGTCACTGGGATTTACCAGTGTGGGCTCTAGGTCTCCTGAGGTACATGTGCTCTCTCTGGGTCCACGGACGTGGGCCTGGGGCATTCCACAAAGCCCTCGGCTCCCAGAGTTGCAGGCAGGCATGTCTGGCAAGGCTGCCTCAGGTTGCATGGGCTCCGGTGCACACTCTTCCCAGGGCTATGTGTGGGTGCTCACAGCCTTCATGTATTTGCCACTTAGTCCTCACTTCCTTCTCCGTGACTTCAAGCAACCAGGTCACTCCTGGTGCTGCTCAAACCCTGTTTGGCCGGGGAGGGAGCGCTGATCCAGCTGTCTCCCAAGAGCCCTGTGGCCGGCCCAGCAGACTCTGGGTCTGGGGCTGACTCCTGGGCCATCACTGTCCTGAAATACCTCCTTACCCTCTGGTTTTTCAACATCCACTACAATTTTTGATCTCCTATTTTTATATATGCTGTGGTACTGGTGGCTGTCTGCTGTGTTCTTCTGTGGATTGGCCAGGTTTTTTTTCCCTGTGTAGGGGGAAGTAGAATCTGCTCCCTTTTACCTAGCTGCCATCTTTCCTTTCCCTTTTTAGTTTTTAATTACCTTTTTTCTATAGGATTGGTTTACAACCTAAAACAACATAAGTTACAAAATTTACACAATTTGGAAGAATGGCAGGCTTCTCCCTCAGAGCCTATCCTCTCAACACCCAAAGAAACAAATCCCGGCCACCCTCTGCCAGGCAGACCAGTCCTAGGTTGTGCCCGGAGTTCTTGTGCTCATCTAAAATACTGTCTTTTGGGAAACATAGATGGCTACAGAATGATCATTCAGGCATCCTCAAGGAAGAGAAAGAGCCAGTCTCTGCTCTCCTTCTGTTCAAATCTTCCAGCCCATAGTTCCAAGCTCACCTTAGGTGTTCAGTTTCTCAGCCAATCCTGTCCTTATCATTGTCTCAGGCAACCTCTTTCTATGGCCCCTCCCTAATCCCCCCAGTGATCTGATCAGATCTCTCCACATCAGAAGACCCCCAATCTCTGGAATTTATGTATAAATAATTGTGTATTTATTCTTACATATTTAAACTTCAGCCACTTTCAAAGTACTCTTCATTTGATTTAATATACCTATCGAGAGTTTCTACCACTGCTCAAAACAGTTTTTGAATGCATCGATTTTGGTGCCTTTCAGTGCTTCTGCTGATTTGTTTCACCTCTTCCACATCAGGTTGGATGCTAGGTTGGAGTCGCTCAAGAAAACGGACAGACACAGTGAGCTAAAGAGAGCAAGGTTTATTAGTGGGGAATAAAAGGGAAAGTGGAGCCAAATAAGGGAGGTTGAAACTCATGGGGGAAAGTGGAGCCAACTAAAGAAGGTTGGGACTCTCTCCGTTGTTCTTAGGTCACTGTTTTTAAACGCAAAAACCTGTAGTTGGGGTATCAGAGAGTCTGATTGGCTACAACTGGTTGCTGGGTGAAAGCTGCATCCTTTTATACCAGATAGGCTGACCCGACCCTAATCTTCCTGGGTAGGGTCTGCAGGCAGCTTCCCATGGTGCCATTTTCTCACCTGGCGATTTTCATTCCTCTTAGGCCTGCCTAGATCTAACACCTTTAAGCACTTTTTTTCATCTGGGGAAACAAAAAAAGTTGCTCAGGAGAAACTGGGTTGTTATATCCACCAGGTGCGAGAATAATTTTCTAAGACCTTTCAGGGTTTTGATCTTATTTTATTGGCCAAGCTTAACCTGCGCAGGGGCGAACTCTCGGGGTGTCTGGAGACACGGTGCCCAAAAGGGCTGCAGATGAGAGATGCACCAAGCGCTTACAGCTAAGTCCTTATATAGGGATGAGCAAGCAAGCCTTGAACAGAAGCAGACGTGGCAGTTAGCTATTTGCTGACAGAGACCGCGCACGGGAACAGGGTGGGGTTTCAAAATTTCAAAACTAAACAGATTACAATCAGCCTGTTTTGCTGTGGTCAGGCTATGTACTCAATTTCCCGGATCTCAACAGGGTGAATAGGGAGGGTAGAACACAGGGATCATGCTGTTTTTTTGGTCAAAAACTGCTGAATATTCAGTGCGATGTGGGTAGATGTGCTTGTAAATCACCCATCGTGAAATGGAAATGCATTGAAAGAGTCTTCAAAAAGTTGCCTAGGCTGGTGTGGCTCAGTGGATTTAGTGCCGGCCTGTGAACTAAAGGGTCACTGGTTAGATTCTCAGTGTAGAGCACATGCCTGGGTTGTGGACCAGGTCCCCAGAAGTGGGTGTGTGAGAGGCAACCACACATCGATGTTTCTCTCCCTCTCTAAAAATAAATAAATAGAATCTTTAACAACAAAAAATAGTGTTCAAAAAGAAATTCACTGAAGCTGAATCACGACACCAGGTGGTACAGTGATATAGATGGGCTCCTAGAACACCTACCTAGTGGAGGAAGCCTGTACTACAAGGGGCTTGCCCTCTAGAAATAACTCTGGGGTTTTTTTTTTGGTCACCCCTTGTATAGTCAATAATATTCTAATAACTATTGTGGAAGAAAAGGAGCCACATACTAAACCTGACAAGCTCAGGGAGGTCTGCGTGGCAGCCCTATAAACTCTGAGATCTAAAGTCACCACAGGATGGTCTGACATTAAAAACTTTCTAAAGGGGTGGGGGTGGGGGGTGGGGGGGGGGGGGAGGGGTGTGCAGGGTGGAGGGGAATGAAGGGAGGAAATAGAACAAATGTAATGTCATAATCAATAAAATAAAATTAAAAAAAGAAAAAAAACCCCTTTCTAACAGCAGGTCATGGTGGTTAGTCATGTCCTAGGCCAGTATTTTCCCTAACAAAGGTCATTCTTTACCTTAACTGAGCCTGTTGGCTTTTGCATCTACAATAGCATGCCTTTGTAGTGTCACATCTCCTTTTGCCAGACCCCTAAAGCACAGGCACCACACTAGGGGGAGACCACAAATCCCCATTGTTATTGTTATCATGTTAATTGTTGACTGTTACTAACCAGTACTCACCTATGTAAAAGATGTGTCAATTTTGCTTTTTATCCAAACCCAGAAGTCCCCCCCACCTCTCTGCTTTGCTTTCTTCCACCCCCCTAATCTATCGCCAATGGATTTCACATAACCTCCTTACGAGTGCTCTTTTGATTGTAATGCATAAAATAAGGTGTTAAATTGCCATTCTCCAGGGCATTTCCTCAATTTGTTGAGATTTTGCTTCCTGGCAATTGTTTATCCCAAACTTACAAAAATTCGTTACAGGTTTGAGTTTCTTAAGTTGAAACGACCTATGGTGTCAAACAGGTGCAAGATTTATGGGATGATCACTTAGAAATTTATGTAATGTATAATCACTTGGTTGTTGTACACCTGAGACTAATATTGTAGTGTATGTCCAGGGTAACTGAAAAACGAAAAATTGTATGGCCATGGCCTGTGTGGCTCAGCTGGTTAGCGCGTCCTCCCGACGCTCAAGGCTTGCAGATTTAGGTTCGATTCCTAGTTGATCCCCTCTCTGGGCCTCCGGGATCCCAAGTCCGTCCAGGAGCTAAAGGACCTACTCTCTTATTTTTGCTCCTCTCTCTCCCCTCCCCTCTCTCTCTGATAAAGCAATAAAAAAAGTCCTCTGGTAAGGCTTAAAAAAAATAGTGTGGACGACTGCTTTTCTTTACCTTTACTAACTCACACTCAGCCAAAGTGGAAAACAAAGACTAAGAGAAACTAAACCTCCAAAACAGACCGACAGTAAGCAAAACGGCCCTTGCCCCCATCCCCCGCCTCCACTAACATTTGCTGAAAGCTTAGCTCCGCCTCCAGTTTTTCCTCAGTGCTCGGCGCCCTCCAAGTTTACGAAAGGGTGGGGTTGCGTGTCGATCCCGGAAGTTTACTCTAGGAACGGTTTTCTCTCCGCACCGCTCTCCCAGCGGCCGGGAGAAGACGCCCCGCCCGGCATCCCCTAGGTAACGCTCACCGCCGTTGTGTCGCTGGGAGTGGTAGTTAGCGTGAGCCCGGTAGTGCCGCGTGAACCGGTGCAGAGTGGCGGGTAGGCACTACATTTCCCAGGAGCCCTAGGACCAGGGGCGGGGCTCCATCTGGAGGCCGTGATTCTGGCGGCTCTTTTGTAAATACAGCGGCGATTCCGGCAGTGGTTTGAGCGGACTGAGAGGCCTGGGTAGTTGAAGAGGTAATATGTGGGCGAAGGTAGCGGGGCAGCGGTGAGGTTCGCCGCTCTGCACCTGAAAGGGCCTGTGGGGCGCGGGATGTCCAGCTCCGGGCGACCCGTCCGGCGCCATCGGGCGGTGGCGAACACCTGTTCCGGCCTGACAGGGTTTCTGGGGGGATCCTGCGCTTTCTTACCCGACCAGTTCCTGTCCGTACTTTAAGCTGCTGTTGGCTCAGGTACGCAGTCAGCTCGAGGAGAGTGTAGAGCGGCGTTGCTTTCTTACCTCCGTACGTGCAGTCTGTGTTATCACCGTGGTCAGGTCCTTGTCTTTAAAGATCTGCTGTGGAATCGTGGCTTTCGAAGTGTATTTTCGGGGACGGATCAGTTATCACCTTCTCGACGTGCTAGTTACTTTTCACGGTCTTGTGGAGGTTTTGAATGAACTGAATATGCCCACTTCCCCTCTGCTTCAGAAAACGGAGTAGAGATATTTTCTTCTTTTTAAAAACATTTTAAAAAATGTATTTTTAATAAAAATATAAAATATTATATTAACGTTATGGAAGTTGAAGAGATGACCAAGTAGTCTCCTGGACTGGAAGGTGACTTAATCGAATGCTTGAAGTCTAGGTAAATTTTTAAGGTCTCCAGTTAGTCTTTTTGAATATTCATAGTATCAACATAGATAAATCCCTTCAGATAAATGTGAATTTAAGTGTTTGCAATATTGTATTATACATAAAAGCCTTTCCCACAGTCCTCACAAACATGAGGAAAAATTATTATGTTCAGAAGCACCATGCCTGTTAACATTTGTGTGAAGTCTACTCGGAAAACCACATACTTGACATACGGAGAAGTTTTTACATTTGTCACAGGTAACTTTTGCACAGGAGGCTGTACTGTCCATGTTCTTCATCGTTATACTTGTAACAACTCTATATACATGCATGTCCATTTACCTCATTATTATGCAAATCTTACAGATCATTTGTTTTCATGTTTACAGAACTGATACAAGTGCTGTTCATCACGTTTGGGAGCACAAGCATTTTCAGTATGTTATGCAGTGCAGAAAGGTGATTAGAGAAACTGCAGTCTCATTTTCAAATTCCATTAAATCTAGATTTTTGACCTAATAAAATGACGCCATCAGTCTTCGGTTGTGTTAGCCACATTTCAAGTGCTCAATAGGTGTATGTGACTTGTGGCTACAATGTTGGACAGCACAGGTCTATGTAACTGTATTTTTTTGTTACTGCTTTACATTTTGCTTTTGTCAGTTAACAGTATATTTTGGATATATACAGTACTTCCATGTCAACACAATGAACTTAACTTGTTCTCTTTAATAGCTGCCTAATATGAATACCATAATTATCTGGACCCCTGTTAATGCCCTTTTAAGTTAAATTAGTTCGTAACTGTTGTGAACTTGTGCCAATATAGCACAAAATGCCTAGATGTGAAATTGCTGGGGCAAAGTTTCTGTGCATTTACAGTTTGGATAGATATTGTCCAATTGCCCTCCAAAAGGTTGAACCAATTTACTTTGCCAGGTAACACTTCACGAAAGAGTTCCTCTCTTCTATACTACCTGTTAATCAGGTTTTAGTCTTTGCCATCTGAGTATGTGAAAAATGCTATGTTGTTACTGTTTTAGTTTCTATTCAATTGAGTGAGGATGAGCATATTTTAATGTTTGCACTAATGTACTTCTTTTTCTGTCTTCTGTATGCTTATGTTTTTCAGACACTAGGTATGAGTCTAAATACGTGTTTCTTTTCCTCCAAATTGCTATTTTTTATTTTCCTTTGGTTTACATGTATTATATTGATAAAGTCTAGAATTATGTCTGAAAAATAGTGTGAGATGTCATTCCACTTTAGTCCTAGATCTCTAGGCTCTCCTCTCAAAGGCATGATGAATATGGCAGGTCTCCCCTTTCTCCATCCTCATCAGCCTACAAACATGCGTTTATTTGTTCTATCTTAAAAAAAAAAAACTCTTGCCCTTGCCTCCCTTCGTAGCTACTGTTCTATTTATTTCCTTCCCTTTATAGCAAAACTCCTGGAAAGAGTTAGCTATATTCACTGTCTCCAGTTTCTTATTCTTTTATATATCCCCTCTATTAAAGCTTTATCCTCCTCCCCTCAGCTGCTCTCATTGAAGTTATCATGACCTTTTCTTTGCTAAATTTTAGGGCCAGTTATCAGTTTTCCTCATCCTTCACTGTTAACAGCATTAATGTAGCCCTTTATTTCTTGAAACATTTTCTTCACTTGTCTTCAAGGACACTATACTTTTTACATCTTTTTTTTTTGGTCGACCTCAATCCCTTAGTGGTTTCATCCAGGGTCTTTAAATACCATCTGCATGCTGAGGATACTCACATTTGTGCTTCACAGCCTTGGCCTCGTCTGTGAGTTATACATTCTTGTGTGTCCAGCTGCCTACGTGATACCTCTGTTGGGATGTCTGATAGTATCTTAAAATGTCCTAAATTTATTTCTCAACTTTCCCCCAAACCTGTTTCATCCCTCATGAGTTTTCCTCATTTCAGTTAATGGCAACTCTGTTCTTCCAGGTGCTCAGCCAGAAATTTTATTTTATTTTATTATTGTTATTCTATTACAGTTACCTCAGTTTTCCCCCTTTTGTCCTCCTTTGCTCTCCCCTGTGGAGAGAGAGTCCAACCCCCCTCTTCCACAGTCAGTCCCCACACTGTTGTCCATTGCCTTTCATACATAGTATTTGACTAGTTCTTTCTCTACAGCCAGAAAATTTTAAGGAATAAAACGGAGGGTCCCAGTGACATGAAGGTATTGTAAATTGTAAAGGAGGAGTAGTGGGTTATATAGTGTGATCATATGAGTTTGAAAATTGGGTGCTTTTTAAGAAAAACAGTACAGAAATCTTTGTTTTCCCTTTTTTTACGCTTACCATGTCATGAATTCATAGGGAATGGGTTCCAGAAGCGCAGGGTATTTTCCATTGGTTCTCACACAGTGTGCTTCTCTGGGTGGAGCGGGGTGGTGCTTCAGTTGAAGCACCTTTATCTGGTACCTTTATCTATGGCTTCCTTGTTTTTTTCTGATCATTTTTCTTCACATATTTCAGAAAGTTATCTTGGCTTTTAGAATGCTTACTACACCCCAGTATGTATATTGATTCTCTTCACAGGAATCTTGCCCTTGTTTGTTTAAAACAATGTCCTCTGTGTGCTGTGTGTGTGACACTGTGGACTCTTCCAGTTTTGCCATGGAAACATTTGTAGAGCATTCCTTTTTAAACAGTGCCCATTCCGTTGAGATCTACAATATTACCTTTCTTGTAGATTTGCATCTATGTGGCTAAAGGAACATTTCCATGTTTTCTAAAAGGCCTAGATAATATATAGCAGTGCTTCTCTTCTTTCCCTTTGTGTTAGTCATTTTGGCGAATTACTGGATGATCGCAGGGTGTCAGGGTATTTATTACTCTGCCCATCTTAGCTGTACCATTAGCTCCTTCTCCTCCACCAGATCCATAATTTCATCCTCTAAATGAGGACTCTCTGTTCACACTATCTAAAAATGCAATCTGCTTCCCCCACACAGCTTTTATTTTTCTCCTTAGGTTTATTAATATTTAACATATTGTATAATTTAGTTTTATGTGTATGTATTTTCCCCATTTTGAAACAATATCTTGCACAGAGTTAGAAAATAAATGCTTATTGAAAAAATCAGACATGCAAATGAGGAGTGGATTATGTTCTTTGCGATATCCTCATTATGTTTATTGCGCAGTGACAGTTACAGAAGGAAATTCATTATTTTACAGCAGGGGTGTCCACCCTTTTGATGTCTCTGGGCCACACTGGAAGAAGAGTTGTCCTGGGCCACACATTCAATACACAAATACTAATGAAAACTGATGAGCAAAAACAAGGTCCATGCATAATTTTCGTGATATCCACCACCACAGATAAGCAAAAAAGTCCTCATATAATAACCCTAATTATTCAGCAGCCCTTTTGATAATCTTTTAAAGTTGATCAGGTTCCAAGTTTGGGACCACTAAATATAGAAAATGTACATATCTAAGTAATAAAATGTCATTAATTTTTTTAAAATATTTTTTATTATAAATGTAAAAAACAAAACTAGTGGGATGTCTGACATTGTATTTGAGAAACTAGTGCATCAGTACCTGGTTTGATAGAGGTAGTTGAAATTCTCAGTGAGTTCTCAAGGTGCTTATCAGATATTTTGGTTCTAATTTTACTCTCATGTTTCATTCTTTTTTCTACTCTAGAATGTGTTTCATTCTTTCTTTTTTTAAACATTTTGCTTATTAACAGAGGGAAAAGGGGAGAAAAAGAGAGGGAGAGAAATATCAATGTGTGGTTGCCTCTTGCGTGCCCCCTATTGGGGACCTGGTCTACAACCCAGGTATGTGCCCTGACTGGGAATCAAACCAGCTGTACTTTGGTTCTCAGGCCAGTCAGTGCTCAATACACTGAGCCACACCAGTCAGGGCTTAATGTGCTTCATTCTTGAAGGTAGTTGCTTGCAAATGTTGGTACTGCCAAATACCGATGATAAGAATACAGCACGATTGTGAACCAAGGGATATTTGTCTCTGGGGAGATAGGACCTACCTATAAATGTCCAGTAAAGAGACACAATCAGATTTTTCTTTAAGTTCAATGTCAGATTGCAGCTATATGCATTCCATTTGAAAATTGGCAAGTAACATATTTTGTCGACTGAAAATGGAGTTGCAAATACAGCAAAATATTGATTATTTTCTCAGAAATCTCGAAATTTGTTTTCAAATTCTTGTATCAATTTGAAAAGCAAGGTTGCATATTTTTCACTGTTCACAGGACTGTGTTTAGCCAATGTGTAGAAATACATAACTTGTTTGCCTTAATTTGAGCTTGCCATAATTTCAGTTTCATTTGGAATGCTGTTATGGTTTGAAACATGCTATTGGTAAGTCAGTTTTCACCTTGAAGATGCATGTTTAACTCATTTAAATAAGCAGTTAAATCCAGTAAATATGCTAAGTCTGTAAGCCAGTTTTCATTGTCCAGCTCTGGTACAAATTTGTTTTTCGATACTATAAACAACTCGATAACATGTCACAAATCATAAAATCTTTTTAACATTTGGCCTTGACTTGGCCCTTTTCCGAAAAGTAAATTATGTTGCCATAGTCAACATCAATATTTCTAAGGAATTCCTGGAGCTGGGGGTGATTCAGTCCCTTGGCTTTTATGAAATTCACAGTCTTGATGATGATTTGCATGACATTATGCATATTTAAAGCTTTTGTGCATAAATTTTCTTGACGTCCTGTGCGGTGATACTTCATCAAATGTGAGACTTGGGTGGTAATTGCATTATTGTCTATTAATTTTACAAGTCCCTCTCTTTTACCCACCTCACCAGGGCACCATCAGTTATATTGGCAATGGACAAAGAAAATTGCTTTAACATATTTTTTATTACTTTATACAAATCTGTTATTTTGTTGTGACTTTTAATGGCACTAAAGAGACCATTTCTTCAGTGACATTATATATTTGTTGTACCTCTAACAAAAATGGCAACTTGAGCTGCCTCTGTGTCATCAGTGCTATCATCCATTGTCAAAGCACAAAATTTAAACTTCTTTTGATGGATTTTCCAACTTCTTCAATTCATTTGCAGGTGAACTGTTCACTTTACAAATAGCAAGAACATACGTACATTTGTTTTACCTGACACTGTGATACATAATCACAAAAAACTCAAATCTCAGTGTTTTATTTTTTAAATATATTTTATTAATTATGCCATTACAGTTCTATTTCCCCCCTTCATTCCCCTCCACCCTAAACACCCCTCCCCCACCATTCTCCCCCACTTTAGTTTATGTCCATGTGTCACAAGTTCTCTAGATTCTATATTTCCCATACTATTCTTGCCCTCCCCCTGCCTATTTTCTACCTACCGTCTATGCTACTTATTCTCTGTGCCTTCTCCCCCCTTCTCCTCCTCCCACTCCCCTGTTGCTAACCCTCCATGTGATCTTCATTTCTATGGTTCTGCTCCTGATCTAGCTATCCTCTTAGTTTGCTTTTGTTTTCGGTGTGGTTGTGAATAACTGAGTTTGCTTTCCTTTCACTGTTCATATTTTTTTATCTTCTTTTTCTTAGAAAAGCCCCTTTAACATTTCATATAATAAGGGCTTGGTGATGATGAACTCCTTGAACTTGACCTTATCTGAGGAGCACTTTATCTGCTCTTCCATTCTAAATGAAAGCTTTGCTGGATAGAGCAATCTTGGATGTAGGTCTTTGGATTTCATGACTTGGAATACTTCTTTCTAGGCCCTTCTTGCCTGTAAGGTCTCTTTTGAGAAATCCACTGACAGTCTGATGGGAACTCCTTTGTAGGTGACACTCTCCTTTTCTCTTGCTGCTTCTAGGATTCTCTCCTTCATTTGAATCTTGGGTAATGTAATGATGATGTGCCTTGGTGTGTTCCTTTTTGGGTCCAGCTTCTTTGGGACTCTGAGCTTCCTGGATTTCCTGGAAGTCTATTGCCTTTGCCAGATTGGGGAAGTTCTCCTTTATTATTTGTTCAAATAAGTTTTCCACTTGTGGCCATTTCTCTTCCCCTTCTGGTACCCCTATAATTCGGATATTGGAACATTTAAAGATGTCCTGGAGCCCTGGCTGGTGTAGCTCAGTGGATTGAGCGCGGGCTGGGAACCAAGGGGTCTCCAGTTCAATTCCCGGTCAGGGCACATGCCTGGGTTGCAGGCCTGGTCCCCAAATAGGGGCCACCTGAGAGGCAACCACACATTGATGTTTCTCTCTCTCTTTCTCCCTCCCTTCACCTCTCTCTAAAAATAAATAAATAAAAAATAAAATATTAAAAAGAAAAGATGTCCTGGAGATTCCTAAGTCTCTCCTCATTTTTTTGAATTCTTGTTTCTTCATTCTTTTCTGTTTGGTCATTTTTTTCTTCCTTCTTGTCCACTTCGTTGATTTGAGTCCCAGTTTCCTTTCCATCACTATTGGTTTCCTGTGCATTTCCCTTCATTTCAATTAGTTTAGCCTTCATTTGTTCCTCTAATTTGTGACTAAAATCAGCCAGTTCCTGTGAGTATCCTGATCACCAGCGTTTTGAACTGTGCATCTGAAAGGTTGGCTGTCTCTTGGTTGCTTAGAATTATTGGCTCTGGGGCTTTGAGCTGTTCTTGAGCCATAATGTTTTGGTCTGTTCGCATCTGTTATGTATGAGGGGCAGAGCCTTAGGTGTTCACAAGGGTGCGGCAACCCAGGTGGCTGGGTTGTGATGCTGTACATGGGGGTGGGGTCAGAGAAGGGCAATAGTGTTTTTTCTGCTCTCTCAGATATCTATCCCCTCTGCTGCTTCTCACAAGCAAATTGGGCCCTTTGGGTGCTGGTTCCCAGGTGTGTGGACTTGTGCACCCTCCAGGACCCTGTGTGTCTCTCCAACAAACTCTCTGTGAGCCTGAGAGCCTCTCCCGGCACCTTGACCCCAAAAGTCTTTCCAATTGGTGCTTGCAGTCTCTAATTCCTGTTGCTGGGGCCGTAGCCTGAGCAGTCTGTCTCACTGCTCGCTCCTTCGCCTGGTTTATCTGGGCACGAATGTATGACCGCATTCAGCCAGCCACCTTGCGCTCTCACTGGGTCTGCCCGTTGTCACCCCATGCCTGGGATATACCAACCGCCACTTGTGCTCCTGGGTAGGTCCAGCCAATCTTTCCTGCCTGACTCAGCTCCGCAGCTGATTTGCTCCTCTCACCGGTCTGGCTGAATGGTTTGTTGTTGTCAGACTTTTGTACAGTTCAATTTTCTGTGTTTTGGCTGGGTTTTTGTTACTAAAACTTTGTTGTCTTTAAACTTGGTTGCAGGAGGAGGCACAGTGTTTCCAGCTACGCCTTCATCTTGGCCGGAAGTCTGTTGGATCAGATCTCAGTGTTTTAAGTAAATTTACAATTTTGTGTTGGGCTGCATTCATAGTCACCCTGGGCCTCATTTGGCCTGTGGGCCTTGGGTTGGACACCCCTGTTTTAGAGTATGATTCATACAGAGTAGCTGTTGCTTGCCATGAACCAATGTAATTTTTGTTGAACATTGAATGAACTCAAATAATACTTTATAGTACTAAATTTATTTTGAATAATATAACCTTAATTGTGATTTAATTTTAACGTAATTTTAGCAAACATTTATCAGATTTCTCCTACCTGCCAGGAGTGGATGATGCTAGGCTGTACTGAATATACAGATACCTTTAAGGAGCTCCCAGCTGGGTTGATTATAGACACAAAAGCAAAATACCACAAATAGTGGGATGAATGCCAAAGTAATGATGGCAGAGACCTCTAGGAATACAGATGAGGACTACCTGGCGAGGAACTATCTAGAGGGATGAGGGAGTAAGGGACAGTGGAAAACAGTGCTAGGTAAAGCCATGGGGGTGGGGATGATTTCTGTCTTAAATTTGGGAGAACACAGGTTCCTCAGGTAGGCAAAGAACCAATCTTATACCAGGACCAGAAGTATGAAAGTGCTTGATGTGCATGTTTGATATTGAAAGTGGATTATTTTCCATTGATAATCGAATAACTTAGAAGATGATTTAGCACCCATAGTTTTAGATCAACTGATCTAGTGCTTGTTTCAAATCATCAGAATGATTAGATCAGAAAGGAAATTAGCTTGTTGATTCCCTGAATTTGAACTAAAAAAACAAACAACCCAAAACTATGTAGCTTAATGCCCCACTGCTTTGCTAGTTAAAGCCTTTTACATATGAAATATTTAGTAGATTTTTGTGCTGGGTCAAGGTTTGGGTGGACTATCTTTAATACTTCTTGTCTTCTACAGGTGTTGGAAATTAATAGCTCTTCTAGCTTTTACATTATTTAAATATAGTAGAAAATTGGACTGATATGTTCTTGATGCCAGCCTCTTCAGAGTTAAACAGTGGGCAGGACTTCTTAAGCCAGTGGATGACCAATTCTTCTCGGGCTGGAGTTATATTAAATCGTGGATTTCCCATTTTGGAAGCAGATGAAGAGAAGCGAGCAAATGTGAATATTTCCACCAGCTTTGCTGTTAAAGCGACACAGTTTTCACATAGTTTCACTTTTATAAGTGAAGAAGAATCACTTAGTGAAGAACAGAATTTGGAGTCTAACAGCCCTTACAGACTACAGTCAGATAAATCCGAAACAGATGCAGTCTTTCCTCTGCCTAATGAAGAACCACAGCCAGTGGCATGTCAGGATTCTCCTGGACCCTGGAAAGACAACAAAAGTGACTTTATCTCAGATCTTGTGAGTGAATTCAGAGAAGTGGCTTGTAAAGATCCACTTTTTAAGAAGCTTGAACAGGTACAACAGGACTTGGCCTAATATGTATTTGTGTTATTGCAGGTTTTTGTTTATGATGAAAGTTACCAGTTTTAGGTCCTCTTGTTTCTTCCCCTTTACAGTACAATCCTCAAAATACTGAATTTTGCCTTTTGTTTAATGTGAAACATTAAAGCATGTTTAATATGTAAGACATAAATGTAACACTTAAGGTAGTATCTTCAGCTTTCTACCTCATTTGGTAAAAGCTAAAGTAGAAATTGTTGATCAACTATTAGGTAGGAAAGTTGATCATACATGTGCTGATTACCTATTTTTTAAGAATCAAAGGATTTTTCTCTTTCTCAGTTGAAAGAGTCAGTGTGGTTTCCATCATAAAAACTTGAATTTAAGAGTTTTGGTGGCAGATTTAGTTAGCCTTATTTGAAACTCTTTATTAAGGAAGATATAAGAAGGGAGCTGGGAGGGATTAAGATTAGTGTAAGGAGCAAAGGTCCATAAAGAAATGTAAAGTTGAGCCCTGGCTAGTTGGCTTAGTAGGTTGGAACAGCATCCCTTAAACCAAAAGGTTTGAGTTTTGATTTCCAGTCAGGGCACATTACTAGGTTGCAGGTTCGATCCTCAGTCAGAGGGCACGCAGGAGGTAACTGATCAATGTGAACATCAGTGTTTCCCTCTCTCCCTCCCTCTCGAAAGAGAGGGTCTTTCCTCCCCGTTTTCCTCTCCCTTGCCTACTCCCTCCCTCTGTAAAGTCAATAAACATCCCTAGCTGGGGATTTAAAAAATATATAAAGTTAGTTTAATAAAGTTAATTTTATGTTTAAAAAGCTGAAAGAGGTGCAACAGAAGAAGCAGGAACAACTGAAGAGGCAGCAGTTGGAGCAACTGCAAAGACTCATGGACGAACAAGAGAAGCTGCTCACTATGGTGTCTGGGCAGCATGTACTCCCAGGTATTTTTTTTTGCTTACAAAGGACCTTCAGTTAGTACAATGATCGATGGTTACACACATTTCTTGCCTTGAATTGTTTGATAGAATTATTTCTACCATTTCTCTGTCATATGTTGCAAACTCCAGTTTCTTTAGGAGCCAGGCAGATAACTGCAGTGGTGGTGTAATATAAGTGGGACAAGTGAAAGCTGTACTATTCAGGAGTATTCATGTTCTTACAGACATTTACATTTATTTATAAAATAAAATTTAAAAAAGACCTGGCAGAATAAAAGATCTAGAGCCAAAGTTGGCATAGTGCTCCTGGTTTACAAGCCTTGCCTGATGAATGAAAAACTGTCCTGGGTCATAGAGGTAAATATTTGTAGAAGCCACTCTATTCAGCTGAAGAACTATTCCAGAAATATTTTCTGTTTAGTTGATGGCAGTTCTTTTGTTGTGTGCTCAATCAGTTAATAGCATGATGTTTGTATCCAGGGAAAAGCCTGTTGAAGTGTGTCTGGAACAGTGGCTTTGAAAGTTTGTTGACCTCTGTAGCAACAAAAGGGTTTTAAATCCTTTGACTCATAATGTCAAAGAAATTTCATAAATCAGCCTTTATTGGTGTGTCTGGTGTATAGCAAGGGTAGTTACTATTTTGTTTATTTTATGTCAAAAAAAGTGCTGGTCGTGTCTTGCTTCATCTGATGATAAAATGACTAATGGATTGTGTCCCACAGTTTGAAAATCAGTGGTCTGGGGCAATGTCTGCTTGGTGCTACTTTTCCAAAGACACACTTCACTGACTTAGGACAGTGCCTGTTGTGTTGAGAAAGTTGTATGGTAATTGAGAATACAAAGAAGATAAGACTTCGGCAAATGAGTGTGCCAAGTGTGGCTGTGTGGGATTCAGGGACTGGTGGGAGTGGTGGGGATGAGAAGTGTAGCAAATGAAGAGTGGTTTAAGGAGTTTGGATGTCACAGGTGGTGGTGTTCTTGCTCCTCCCCCCTCCACCCTGTCCCCATCAAGGTAGAAAGCAAGAGAGGAGGTGAAACATACAAAAGAAGAGGTTTGCTAAAAACAAATTATAGGGAAAGGAGAAAGGGGGACAGTTGAATGCAACAAAGGAACACATACTAATAAAGAAAGAATACAGCTCCTTGAACTGCTGCGGGGGGTCTGGCTTATATATGGTCCGGTCATTCACGCAGGTGCAGTGTAGATTTGCTTTCCGGGAACTCTGGGTTGGCAGATAGATGTCCACTAGTGCACATGCAGAGTGGAGCTCTTTGCAGGGACACTTGAAACTTATTTAGGAGAGGCTCACAAAAAAAATTGAGAGTGTTCACAATTATTTAACAGGCTCAGCCTATGTCAATTCTTAAGTAAAACAAACAAACGAAAAAAAAAGCAAAACTGTGAGTACATGTGATGATGAATAGAGTGACTGCTGGAACAGTTATGTCCTGCAGTGCGACTTTTGAGTTGAAGGCACCAGGAGTTTCCATTTTGTTTTTATACCATCAGTGCTTGTGTCAACACAGTGAAATGGACAGTACTGTCTTAATGTTTTGTGAAAATAGCTTTGACCTGGTGGTGCCTGAAAGAATCTTGGAGACCTCCAGGGTTTACACACTTTGAGAGCTTCTGCTTTAGAATATTGCTTTTTTTTTTTTTTTTCAGCAACATGTTCAGGTTGAAGTTGGATGACTATTAGTCACAAATATTTAAGTGGAGTGAGTACTGTTATAAAGGAAGGGCAGATGAACATGATATTCAGAGAGGATCTGCCAGGATCCTCAGAGAGGATGCATAGTTTTATTTGTGAGCTAGGGGTGAGGTAGATAGGTGGCATGGCTCTTTTGTAAAACACTTTCCATGGTGCTTTCACTTCTAAATTTAGTGGGACAATCAGGGAGAACAGAAGGGTAGTAGCAGGATTTCATGGGGCTGGTATAGCAGGCAGGATGGCTAGTATTGTCATCTAGCCTCCAAAACATATGTACAGGAGGGATCTCGTTGCTTATTGGGTTATTTCAAAAGCTGAGACTTAAGGAACAAAACAGGAGAAGAGTACATGAAATTTAGAAACTACAGAAAAAGTATAAAACAGAAAAAACACCATAATTCCATTACCTGAGGATGCCAAAATGGCAACTGTAATCTTAAAGGAAGATACTTTTCTGTGCTGTGACACAGAGAGCATGACTGTTAGGGAACAGTACAGATCATTTGTAACTATCCGCATCGAAGCTGTCTAACTGTGAGCTCTTATGGGGCTGTGAGCTGAGAACACCAGCAGTGCTTGTCACAGTTGGTGCCTGAGTGGAGCCTTACGGAGCTGGGCTGTGCTGCCCTGCCTTACACATACTGTCTGCACATGAATCACAGTGCAGACATGTTTTCAATCAAAATTATTCAAGGGTCACTTTGGACTTTTATAACTTTTAAGATTTTGTTAAACACAATTTCCTAATAAAGAGGAAAAAAAACATCACTTTGGAGAAAACTTTTTGGTGGGGTCACTAATGGGCAGAAGCCAAAATGTTAGACATCAGTTTGTTAATTTTCTTAATTATGAGGTTTAACTCTGCTGCCTGATGATCAGAGCCAGAAGTATAGATCTCCAGGAAGTTCAGCCACTGAAGAGAAACCCAGACTCTTCTTACCATCATCTGTCTACCAGAATCAAAATCAAGAAAAAACACACACTTCCAACATTTTGTCCAATGAACAAAACAACTTTTGTAGAACTACTCATCAAGATTTTGTCTTAACTTCAAAAAGTGGTGCTTCTCCCAATTTGTTTTCTGCAGCACAGTGTGAAGAAGCACTTGTGAAAAAACATGATTTGGAGGAGGAAAACTATAACCATTCTAAAGGTGAGTTACTTATATTTCTTCTGCACTTAACCAAGAGTGTTACCAAGTTGTCCTAAGACAAAAAGAGTCCTTTAAGCATTTTTTTTCATTTCCCCTTGGCTTTAATTATGAGGTCCTCCATGCTGCACAGCCACTGAATCTGAATTGGATGACAAGTCGGACACAGAATTTGTGACTTTCAAGAACAGTCTCAGTACTCATGCTGACTTCACACCTTGCATGCTGGCATGGGGACTTAGAAAAGGAGGGCAAAAAGTTCTCTTGTAACTTTTTCTTTGAGAGCTTAGAAATAGCGTGAGCTTAATTTAAAATGTGTGTGGTGTCAGGGCACTTGATAGAAAATGTGAAATGTGAGAAGATTGGTGATGGGATTAATTATCCATAAAAAAAATCTCCCCTACCCCAGATACTCTGTCTTCACCATACCTCTGTATTACTTGTATCCAGCACATTCCTGCTACAGAAATGGCATTTAGTGTCTGATGATCTAAACTCATAGAGCTCTTGTGTGATATTTTTCTGTTCCCTACTTCACATTTCATAATTATAGAAAATTGTACAGTAAGTTGTGTTCCTTCCTATTCCACATAGAAAATGCTTATGGTATATTCTATAGTCTTTATAATTTTAATTAATATCGTTATACTACTTTAGTAATATGTCAGTATTTAATGTTCTCTGTGAAGTACTAAGTTGTTTCTAGTACTTTAATGTTAAATTTCCAATTCTCAAGAACATACTCTTTTGAGTTATAGAAAAATGCAAATAATATGATGAGAGATGTCTATGCTTACTACTTATGATTATACATAATACCTTGTTTTTAGAGTAATTCCTGGTATGGATGGTCAAATGTCTTTTTCTAATTTTTTAAAAATAATACATTGCTTAATCTTTTATTTTAGAAACTTCAAACATCTGTAAAACTTGAAAGACTATTGCAGTAATTACCAGCATACCACCTCCTAGATTTAACAGTTGATATTTTTCCACATTTACTTTGTATTTTGTGTGTGTGTGTGTATATGGTTTGCTGAGTTATTTCAATGCAAGTAATATGCAGACATTATGTTATATCATTTCATATATTATTGTCCTGAGAATTAGGACATTCTTTTTATAACCACAATATTATTATTATACTTAGGGACATTAACAGTAATTCTTTAATATTCAGATCTATTTTAGAATTATCCTATTATCCCAAATACCTTTTAAAAGGTTTTTTTTTTTAAAGATTTTATTTATTTATCTTTAGAGGGGAAGGGAAGGAGAGAGGGAGAGAAACATCAATGTATGGTTGCCTTTTGTGCGTCCCCTGCTGGGAACTGGCCTGCAGGGAACCGGCCTGCAACCCAGGCATGTGCCCTGACTGGGAATCGAATCGTGATTGTCTGGTTCGCAGGCCTGCGCTCAATCCACTGAGCTACATCAGCCAGGGCTTTAAAGGTTTTTTTTAAAGATTTAAAAAAAAAAAAAACAGAATCCAATCATGTATTACTTTCAGTTGTTTTAACTCTTTAGTCTTTTTAATTTAGGGAAGCTCACATTTTTCATAACATTAATGTTTTGAAGAATGTTCTTTTTTTATTTTTATTTTTAAATTTTTAAAAAGATTTTATTTAGTTATTGTTAGAGGGGAAGTGAGGGAGAAAGAGGGAGAAACATCAATGTGTGGTTGCCTCTTCTGTGCCCAGTAGGGGACTTGGCCCACAATCCAGGCATGTGCCCTGACTGGGAATCGAACCTGTAACCCTTTGGTTCATAGGCCTGCACTCAGTCCACTGAGCTACATTCAGTCCACTGAGCTACACTGTCTCTCTTGTACCTACCAGTTATACCTCTTATTCCCTGTACTTTTCCCCCATTCTTCCCCTTCTCCCTTTTTGCTACTAACCCTCCATGTGATTTCTATTTCTGTGTATCTGTTCTTGTTCTATTGTTTGTTTTTGTTTTTGTTTTAGGTGTGGTTGTTAATAAATATGAGTTTGTTGTCATTTTACTGTACATATTTTTTATGTTCTTTTTCATAGATAAATTTCTTTAACATTTCATACAATAAGGGCTTGGTGATGATGAACTCCTTTAACTTGACCTTATCTGGGAAGCACTTTATCAGCCCTTCCATTCTAAATGAAAGCTTTGCTGGATAGAGTTATCTAGGTTGTAGGTCCTTGCTTTTCATCTCTTTGCATACTTCTTGCCAGTCCCTTGCCTGCTATGTTTATTTTGAGAAATCAGCTGATAGTCTTATGGGAACTCATTTGTAGATAATGTTCTTCTTTTCTCTTAATGCTTTTAAGATCCTCTCTTTATTTTTAACCTTTGTCATTTTAATTACGATGCACCTTGGTGTGTGCTTCCTTGGGTCCCACTTCTTTGGGACTCTCTGTGCTTCCTGGACTCATATGTCTATTTCCTTCACCCGATTGGGGAAGTTTCATTATTTTTTCAAATAAGTTTTCAATTTCTTGTTCTCCTCTTCTTCTGGCACCCCTATGATTTGGATATTGGAACATTTAAAGTTGTTCCAGAGGTTCCTAAGCCTCTCTTCATTTTTTGAATTTTTATTTCCTTATTCTGTTCCAGTTGAATGTTTATTTCTTCTTTTCCAAATTGTTTACTTGAGTCCCGGTTTTCTTCTGTTCACTGTTGGTTCCCTGTATATTTTTCTTTATTTCTTTTTATATAGTCTTCATTTCTTCCTTTATTTTGTGGCTGTACCCAGTTTTTTCTCTGAGCATCCTTATTACCAGTGCTTTGAACTCTGCATCTGATAGGTCCTTATCACTTAGTTCTTTTTCTGGAGTTTTGATCTGTTCTTTTATTTGGACCGTATGTTTTTGTGTCTTTAATTTGGCAGTCTCCCTGTGTTTCTGTGTATTAGGTGGAACCGATTTGACTCCCCATGTGGGCGCACCTGTAATGTTCTAAGGGGCAGGGCTTTAGGTATTTGCCAGGGTGGTGCAACTAGCTTCACTACTTTATGGCACTGTATGTCGGGGAGAGGTCAGAGAGAAAACACTGCTGCTTGCTCATCCTATGCTCCATTTTCAGTCATTTCCTCCCTTTCCTGTAAGTAACTGGCCCTATTCTAGTGCTGCCCTGGTACTGATTTCCAGTTGGGTGGGTTTGTGTATGTTCTAGGACCCTGTGGACGCTTTAAAATGAGTCTCTTGGGAGATCGGAAGTTTCTTCTATCACCCCAAGCTCCACTGGTTTTTACAGTCAGAGGTTATGAGGCTTTATTTCCCCCCTCTCTGGAACCCTGAGCTGCGTGGGGTGACCTGGGCTGGGATCACTGGCTCCCCAGTTGCCCCTTGTTTTTATTTGCCACACATGAATGTGGGACTGCCCTGTCTGCTGGCCACAGCCACTGTTGCTACTGCCTCACCACTCCATGTCCTCTCTGCCTGTCTTACTGGTCTGGATGAATGTTTCTTTAAATCCTTGGTTGTCAGACTTCCATACAGTTCGATTTTCTGGCAATTTTGTTTGTCTTTTTGTTTTTAGATTGGTGGTTATCCTTTTTATGGTTGTATGAGGGGGGGAAGCCAGTCTACCTATACCTTCATCTCAGCCGGAAGTTCTGAAGAATGTTACTGTGTTTTTATTAGGGTTTTGTGGTTTTTCTTCATCATAGTAAAGAAATCCTTAAGAGTTGTGAAATCTTTGGCATGCCTTACTTTTAACTAGTATTTTTTTTAGCTTACTAACTTGTAAAATTCTCAAGTTTTAAGACTTTGATTTGATTTTTTTTTAACTAAATTTTTCTTAATTTTTGGTCTAGGTGAAGGTATTTTACCATGTTGGGAGAAAATGACAGACCAGATTCAGGAAGAGAATGATGTAAACCTAAAAAAATTTGGTGATTCCTCAGAAGTGGTTAATGTTGAAGAAAGGTACCATTTATGTTACAAGGAATAAGAAATGTGAAAACTTAATGTAATAGCCAGCCATTATTATTGAGTACTTTCTTTGAAAGATTCATACTCTTTGTTTTTGCTTGAAGATTATTTATTTTATGTATAAGGTTGAAGATGCAATTTAACACATACTGTCAGCAACATAAGGAATTTGGAGAGATATATCAGTTTAAGTGCCTATGACATTGTATTGGAAAAACCAAGCAAAGTTTTTTCAATAGTAATAGTAAATAGATAGGTAAAATTAGTAATAGATAGGTAAAATTAATCATCTCTCAAATAGTTAAGTAAATCTTATTTTGGAGAAGAGAAAGTAAATTATATATTAGAGTCTCACATTTGGTGTCACTTATAAATTCAAATTGTGTAAGTCTGGTTGTAGAATTTCATAATGTTGTGACAAGACCCTAGCTAAGTGACTCAATTAGTTGGAACATCGTTCCATACACTGAAAGGTTAAGGGTTCGATCCCTGGTGAGGGCATGTGCCTAGGTTGCAGTTTTGATCCCTGGTTGGGGTGCATGTGGGAGATAGCCTGTCGATGTTGCTCTTCCTCTCTCCCTCCCTCCCTCCCCCCTCTCTAAAATCAATAAGCCTGTCCCTGAGTAAGGATTAAAAAGTAATAATAAAAAATGAAATTTTGTGACCAATATAATATAGCAATATCGAAGTTGTTTATTATTTTCTTAAATACTTGAAATATTTTAATATATGTTATTAATGGGCAAATGGCTTTTTTTGATTGTTGCTCTATTTACATTGTTAAGAATCTTTTAAAATTAAAGAGTATATATAATGAATTATTTTTGAAATATGTTTTAAATTTACATAACACATTACTTTAAAAATTAATCTGAGGTTGACAGATGGACTTCAGAAGAGTTTTTCTTTTCAAATTATGTAGAATACTGTATATTTTTGTATTTTGGGAGATGGGGTGATTTGTAGCTTTCATTAAATTTTTAAAGGGGTAGTCTGTCACTTTGGAAAAGGTTAGTTTTCAATATAGTCAGCGGTGTATATCAGGCAGACTAAGTGTAAAATATTCACATCATGATTTGCATGTTAAATAACTTTATTTTTCATTATCAGGCCTATTAAAGCTGCTATTAGAGAAAGAAAACAGACATTTGAAGACTACTTGGAAGAACAAATTCGGTTGGAAGAACAAGAATTGAAACAGAAACAGCTAAGGGTTAGCATCACCATTGGATTAAATTATCTAAGATGGTAGAGATTTGTTTGTAATTTGCTTTAAATATATCAGCATTAATTCAAATATTGTTCTTTATTATAGGAAGCAGAAGAATCATTGCTAATCAAAGCAAAACCAAAACAACCATTCTTAAAACGAGGAGAAGGGTTAGCTAGATTCACTAATGCTAAATCTAAGTTTCAGAAAGGGGGGGGCAATAAACTAATGACTAATCAGAGCATTTCAGAGGACCAACCTGTGTTTAAAATAGATAGACAACAATTCCAGCGGAAAACTGCTCTTATTAATAAAGAACTATGTACAGAGAACCCTCACCCTAAAAAGAACAGAGCTAGAACCAAGAGTGGTTATGTCACACTCAGTGAGAAGCCAGAAGTGCTTAAGAGTAATAATGTGAAAGGTTTCTTTCCATCAAGACTGAAAATACTGGCAGGGAAGAATTGTGGTAAATTTAGAGAGCAGTTCAAATTAGAAAAAAAGGTAGAATCTAACAATAAAGAAAATGTACCCGAGTGTACAAAACCTTATGATACTGGTTGTGAAGTCTGGAATAACGCACAAGATAACATACTTCCCCTCTCTACGGGGCTGGAAGGCTGCATGGCTTCAAAAAGCCCAATAACTGAGAGCTTGAGAGAGTCAGGATCTTCTCTTGACATTTCTGTTCAGAAAAAGTTAGAGAATTGGGAACAAGAAAAGGAAAAGGAAAATTTGGAATTAGATGAATTTTTGCTTTTAGAACAAGCTGCTGATGAAATATCATTTTCCAGCAATTCCTCATTTGTACTGAAGATCTTAGAGAGGGACCAAGAGGTCTGTAAAGGTCACCGGCTGTCTTCTACCCCTGTTAAAACTGTGCAGCAGCAAAAGATGATGACACTGGGTCTGTGTAACCAAAGTGTTAGTCAGTGTAACCAAAATGAGCATCCAGACCATGACAAACATGAAAATGAGGGTGAGTGTGAGGTTGCACCCAAACAACTTAATTCACTGTCCTCACCTGATGGACTGGGGAGACTGTCTGGTAAAGTCAGTGAAAAAGCGTTCCAAATGAACACTTCTGAAAATCAAATGAGGTTGAAAGCAAGTGATAATGTAATGAACAGTGACAGTAGCACTGATTCTGAGGAGCAGCTGGGCGTTATCATAAAGTCATCAACTGAGGGTAACAAAAGGGGGTTGAGCAGCAGAGAAGATAATCCACAAGTTTGTGATGGTAAGGGACCGTTAGGGAATGCTGGGACTCAAGAAGAGAGTAAAAGGAGAGATGTGGATTTAGATTTGTCTGATAAAGACTGTAGTAGTGATGAGTCTGTTGTAACAGAAAGCTTGAAAAATAAAGGTTCTGAGTCCTCGAGAAGGCCATCATCTTTAAGTATAATTGACTTCGATGATGAAAGAACTTGGACCGATCTTGAAGAGAATTCATTTAAATGTGATATTACTCATGGGAATGAAGCCATTTATGGAACTCCCCAGACCTACCCTAATATGAGTGATATATGTGTACTGGACAAAACAATAAAAAGGAAGGTTGCACCAGCAAAGAAGGAAGACTTGAGCGAGTCCAGCAGAGGCACAAGTCCTCCTCCTACATCAGATCTGATGATGAAATTCTTCCCTTCTTTGAAACCAAAACCAAAATCAAAATCAGATTCACATTTGGGAAATGAACCCAAGGTAAACATTCAAGACCAACCCACTGGTAAGTTAGAGCATTATAAAATGTGTAATAGATTGTAATGAATTTAACATTTATTTTATTGTGTATTGTCAGAATGCTTAAAATCCCAACTTTTCTGGTTGCTATGTTAAAATTTGATTTGTTTTGTGGGTCTAAATAATGTAATAGTAGTGTTAAGAGATTCAGATGAATTGTGATTTCAGGCTTTTCAAATTTAAGCCTGCCTTATTCTTAAGACTGTAAAAGTAATTGCTTTATTATTAAATGAGATAACATTTAAATTTCTTTTACAACCAGGGAGGGAGTACTTGATTTATGGTTTGTGTTACTGTGGAGGAAACTGTGTGTGTGCACACTTTTTTTTTCGAGGACTGTATTTTTACTTTTTTTTTATACTGCCTCATGCATTAACTTGTTAAATTTGACCAAGAAGAAATACAGTATAATCCAAGTTTCTTTCTTCCCTCAGACCTGGGCTCCTAGTCCCCTTTCCTAGAGGCACCAGTGTTTTCATTTCATTTGTATATGCTAAATACATTCCATGCACATGAAAGCATTTGTCTGAGTGTAATTTCCTTTCTGTACAAATGAAAACATGCCTTTTATATAGCATCCTATATCATGCTTATATATTTTGAAGATAGCTTTAACACAAACATCTGCCTTGTTCCATTTAATGGTTGTATAGTATTCAGATGATGTGATGGACTTTTTAAACCTATATTGAAGAACTTTTCTATATCATGTTATATTATAAACTCTGAATCCCTGCAAAGCTTTAAAATATAAATTATAGCAAGCTATTTAAAAAGTACTCTGAATTTAAAAGTAGTACTTTTGCAGAAAGTTTGGAAGTTTAACTAAAGTACAGAAGTGAGAATGTTTATAAGTGAACTAGCCAGAGGTAGTACTATGATATTGTTTTGGGATATTTTCTTTCAGTCATTTTCCCTATGTATTTTAAATATCATAGCAACATATGTTATAACTTGCCTCATCCTTTTAAACTGGTACATAACATGTGTTGGCCATATCATTAAACACTATGCACTTTAAAAATGGTTGTATGACATTATATGAATTTAGTGTAATTTTATTCAGTAATTTTCTTAATGTTTGACAGATTTTTTTTACTAATATAAATACACTGCAATGCATATTTTTGTGCAAAACTGTAAGGTTTTACAAGTGTGTTCTTTAACTAAATTTTTAGAAGTAGAGTCAAAGGGTAAATATGTATATATTAGTTTTATGATATAAATCAGGTTTAGTTTCCAAAGTGTAGTTAAAAGACAAGTATTAGATATTTTACTCTCTTAAATAGCAGTTCGATGTTGAAAAAAAGTCTTAATTTGTATTTCTTTGATTAGCAAGGGGTAAGCTTTGCTTTTGGGTGCTTTAGATATCTTGTGACTTACTTATTCATGTTCTTAAGCTATTTTTATATCCTGGCCTTTAAAAAATTTATTTGAATGATTTCTTTTTATATATAATGTTAATTGTCAGATTGAAACTCTTGAGGCAGAATAATTTGATTCTTAGATTTAGACTGGTTTCATCTGGGAAGATAGGACAATAAAATTATTCTAAAATTTAGTTATTAGAAACATTCTAATGCATTTTAATGGGGTATTTACCATATTTTTGGCTCTTAGTGTTAATAGCTAGCTAGTGTTTTGCTGCTGAAGACCTCTTGTGAAGTTCAATATGTATGGCCTGTTTTATAGGTGACAATGCTCGATCTCAAGTTTTGAGAGAGAAAATTATTGAGTTGGAAACGGAAATAGAAAAATTTAAAGCTGAGAACACTTCTTTAGCTAAACTTCACATTGAACGAGAAAGTGCCTTGGAAAAGCTCAAGTAAGTTTGTGTCAATAAGTTGGAAAAACATATAGTGGTTCAGTTAGTATCTTTAAGAGCATGTCTAGAATACTGGAAATAATTTTTGTCAATCCCATAATATAAATGGAAATTAAATCTGTACCACATATGAATTTTTTAACTAAATAACAGTGACCCATTGTGGTCAAAGCTTTGTTAAGTAAGAGGAGAATGCTCTTGGTGATGAGATTACAAATTGAAATATGAAAGGCAGTTTGGGGTTATGAATTCAAGTATTACATTGGCCAATGTATTAATTTCTTAGGGCTGCTTTAACAAAGTACATACTAACCGGATGGCTTAAAACAGCAGGAAATTATTTTCTCATGATTCTGGAGGCTTAGAAGTTCAAGGTCAAGGTGTCAGCAGAGCCATGCCTTTTCTCCTATCTTTTAGTGGTTACTGGCACCCTTAGCATTACTTGCCTTGCAGCTGGACATTTGGGTTTTGGTTATTGTGAATAATGCTATTATCATTGGTGTACAAATATCTGTTCATGTTTCTGTTCTTATAATTCTTTTGGATACCTGTATTTTTTGGACCATAAGGTACATCTAGGTTTTAGAGGAAAATAGGGGAAAATTTTTTGAAGCAAAAAATGTGATAAAATATTTAATGACATAAATAACATAATATTTCACCAATGTAAATCTAAACAGAACTCAACAGCAGCATTAACAACCATTATTCCTCCCAAATTGGGGGGTGGGGTGGGGCGGTGGTGTGTCTTATAGTTTGAAAAATACATTATGTACCCAGGGTAGAATTGCTGAATCATATGTTGAACCAACCTTGCATTTTAAGGGATGCATCCCACTTGGTCATTCTATGTAATCCTTTTAATGTGCTCTTAAATTTGGTTTCCTAATTCATTGAGGATTTTTACATCTACATTCATCAGGGGTATTGTTTTCTTGTGGTATCTTTGGGCTTGGTATTATTGATACTAGTCTCATAAAATGAGTTTGGAAGTGTTCCATTTTCCTTTTTGAGAAGAGTTTAAGAATTGGTATTAATTCTTTGAATATTTGGTAGAATTTACCTGTGAAACCATCTGGTCCTGTACTTTTCCTTATTGGGAGATTTTTACTGATTCATTTGATTGTTATCAGTCTGTTCAGGTCTTCTATTTCTTCTAGATTTAGTTTTGGTAGGTTGTATATTTTTGGAAATCAGTCCATTTCTTCTAGGTTATCCAATTTTTTTGGATTATAATTGGGGATAATATGATCTTTTTTATTTCTGAGGCATCTGTTGTAATGTCATCACTTTCATTTGTGATACTTATTTATCTCCTTTTTTTATTGGTCTAGCTAAGGGCTTGTTGATTTTGTGTGCTGTTTTTCTCCTCCCGAGACTGGTGCAATGTGTATATTGGTTTATTCCTTGTTGCTCCATGAATCCTGGAGGCTTTCTTATTCTTTTTTCTCCTTTGACTATAATTTTAAGTTATCTCTCTTTTAGTTCACAGATTCTTCTACTGGAGTGAGTTTGCTGTTGAAGGTTTCTGTTGCATGTTTTTCTTTTTTTACTCTGTCCATTGTTTTCTCAGTTTGAGACTTCTTCTTGTGTTCTTTTTTTATGATTTTTCTTTGTCGAACTTCTTATTTTGTTTCATGTATTGTTTCCAGGTTTTATTGGGTTTTTCATCTATGTTCTGTTGTACCTTGTGAGCTTCTTTAAAACACATATTTTGAATTCTTTGTCAGGCAATTTGTTGATCTCCATTTCTTTGGGATCAGTTACTGGAGCTTTATTTTCTTTTGATGGTGTCATGTTTGCCTGATTCTTCATGATCTGTGCAGCCTTGTGTTGATGTCTACATTTGAAAGAGCAAATAACCTCTTTCTCTTTTTACAGATTGGTTTTGGCAGGTCTTTACCTTCTCCTGCTGGGTCCTTGATCCAGGATCCAGTTGTACCTCCGGGATCCCAGTTGAATGGGATTGTAGCCAGGGATTGAATGGCTGCTTCTGAGTCCACTGTGGTGTCCACGGTTGGCAGGCCTGTTACCGGGGGTGCAGGTGGACATAGACTAGACCTCTGGTTGGACAGGACTGCTTTTGGGTCCATGGTCAAGCAGGGCTGGAGGTAGGTCATAGGTCATGGGGCTACTTCTGGGCCCACTGTTGCCATCTGTAGGCAGGGGGATCAGTTACCATGGATAAGGATAAGTGTGGCCTCTGCCTTTCCTAGATACCTTTCTGCTGGGTGCCTAGGTGGGCAGGACTGTCTCCAGTAATACAGTATAGCAAGCTGGAGCCAGGTCACAAGGCTGTTTCAGGATCTGTAGTTGGGACTGAGGTCTGTGGGGCTCTTACCAGGAGCATAGACAGGTGTGTCTCTTCCCAAGTTCCCCGGTGGATGGAGCTGGGGCTGAGTCCATAGGGGATCTAGGCTGTTTTCATTCTGCAGCCAGGACCATGTTTAGTAAGTCTGCCACTGGGGCATGGACCTGCCTTCTCTAAATGTCCTTGATATCATGGCTTCACCAGAGTTTCCAGACCTCCTACCTGAATCCTAGAGCTTCCCCCAAAGCACTTAGGTTCTTGGATGGCTGTTGGATTGTTGTTTATGTAGGGGGATGTAAGCCGGGGACCTCCTATTCCAAGAGAGTGACTTGCTGATGTCACTCTCCTTGTATTCTTAATACAGCATGAAGAATGAACCTGGGTTATGACAGTCCCTCTGATCAGCACTCTCCTCAGCTAGATACCAAAGTCCTCAAGTGGTGCATAAAACCCAGTTAATATGGTCTTTGGGTTTTTTCCCCCCTGCTGACTCTATCATACTGTTTTAGCCACACTGGCTGCCTGGTTGTTCTTTGAACACATCAGGCATTCCTTCCTCATGGTTTTTACATGTGGTGTTCCCTCTCCCTGAACTGTTTTGTCCAGATATCCTTCTGGCTATTCTCTCATTTTCTTCAGGTTTTACTTCAAGTATTGTCTTAGTAAGGTGATCCCATTATCATTTTAATCCCCTATTCTGATATTCTCTAACCTGATTCCTTGCTTATGTTCTTCCTTAATACTTATAATGCTCCATATATTTACTTATTTTATTCTATTATTGCCTGTCTCTCCCATTAGATGTAAGAAGCTTCACACATGCTTAGTTTTTTTGCTGTGGTTCTTCCAGTGTACTGCTTGATGTATAGCAGGTGCCCAGTGGATGCTTGTTGAAGGGGTGCTTTATTGAGTTAATTGACTGCTATTTCAATGCTTTAGATTGAGGATGGATTAACTAAGACCAGCAGCTCCTCATTTCTAGGCTGTCACTGGTGTTATATTTTGGTGCCGCATGTGGGTTATTATATTGAGATGGTCTTCTTAGATTATTGAGATAATCCCCTTAGATAACATGGTTTGGTCATTTTAGGAAAGATATTGCAGACTTTGAACAACAGAAGGCAAAAGAATTGGTTCGAATAAAAGAATTTAAAAAGGAAGAAATGAGGAAGCTACAAAATAAACGCAAAGTTTTTGAAATGTATACTACAGCTGCAAGAACTTTTCCAGATAAAAAGGAGCGTGAAGAAATACAGGTATACCAATACTTACATACTCATATAAGTTAGTGAAGATGACAGTCCTATAAGAATTTTAGAGTTATTTAATATATCAAAGAGACATTGGTATCAATTTATTAATCATGCACTGGCTCAACAAGTTATCTGTCTGAGACTGTGCATTAGGAACATCTTTATAGTCTGGCTTTTAAAGAGCAAAATATTCTCTTTCAAAAAAAAGAAAACTATGATAATGACATGAATGAATTAGGCCAGGAGTTGGAAGTTTACTTGTGTAATAATGTTGTATTAATTTGTTTAACCTACCACAGAACAAGTATTGTTAGTTTTGTTTATTTACAAATGTTTAAGGCTTATATTATACTAAATAGGTGTTTAATTCTAAATCTTATAAATTGATAGGCCAAATTATCAGACCTCTTCATTTCAAAGTTAGAAATGGACATGATCAGAGGAATGTAGTACCATATTTTTAGGACTATAAGACGCACCTAGGTTTTAGAGGAGGAGAATAGGAAAAACATTTTGAAGCAAAAATTGTGGTAAAATACTGAATAGCGTAAATAACATAATACTTCACCAGTATAAATGTAAACTACATTTACTAGCCAGGTACGCTATATTTGGACTATCATTTTTCCTTCCAAATTTGGAAGGAAAAGGTGCATGTGTCTTATAGTTTGAAAAGTATGGTATACGGTACTTAAAAAAGAACTAACATTTCTAGCTAAACTATAGAAAAAAATAGGTGAATATATTCATGACTTTGGTATATGCAAAGATTTCCAAAGAACTAAGTATAAAAGAAAAAAAGTGGATATATTAGAATTCATCAAAAGAAAAATCTTCAGTTTATCAAGAGAAAAATTTTATATGGCTATCCCTTGCTTATAGCATACAATGCAAACTCACCTTCCAATTCCATATTTTTAAAAATATTTTTTTATTGATTATGCTGTTACAATTGTTCTATTCCCCCTTCATTCCCCTCCACCCTACCCCCCCATCCCCACCATTACCCCCCTCTTTAGTTTATGGCCATGTGTCTCAATTCCTTTAGATTCTATATTTCCCATGCTATTCTTGCCCCCCCCATCTATTTTCTATCTACTGTCTATGCTACTTATTTTCTGTACCTTCTCCCCCCTTCTCCTCCTCCCACTCCCCTGTTGCTAACCCTCCTTGAGATCTTCATTTCTATGTTTCCACTCCTGATCTAGCTGTCCTTTTAGTTTGCTTTCGTTTTAGGTGTGGTTGTTAATAACTGTGAGTTTGTTGTCCTTTCACTGTTCATGTTTCTTTAACTTCTTTTTCTTAGATAAGTCCCTTTAACATTTCATATAATAAGGGCTTGGTGATGATGAACTCCTTGAATTTGATCTTATCTGAGAAGCACTTTATCTGTCCTTCCATTCTAAATGAAAGTTTTGCTGGATAGAGCAATCTTGGTTGTAGGTCTTTAGATTTCATGACTTGGAATACCTCTTTCCAGCCCCTTCTTGCCTGTAAGGTCTCTTTTGAGAAATCAGCTGACAGTCTGATGGGGACTCCTTTGTAGGTGACTGTCCCCTTAGCTCTTGCTGCTTCTAGGATTCTCTCCTTCATTTTAATTTTGGCTAATGTAATGATGATGTGCCTTGGTGTGTTCCTTCTTGGGTCCACCTTCTTTGGGACTCTCTGAGCTTCCTGGATTTCCTGGAAGTCTATTTCCTTTGCCAGATTGGGGAAATTCTCCTTTATTATTTGTTCAAATAAGTTTTCCACTGGTGGCTGTGCCTTTCCCCCCTTCTGGTACCCCTATAATTCGGATGTTGGAGCATTTAAAGATGTCCTGGAGGTTCCTAAGACTCTCCTCATTTCTTTGAATTCTTGATTCTTGACTCTTTTCTGTTTGGCCATTATTTGCTTTCTTCTGGTCCACTCCATTGATTTGAGTCCCAGTTTCCTTTTCATTGCTATTGGTGTCCTGTGCAATTCCATTCATTTCAGTTAGTTTCGCCTTCATGTATTTGTCTAATTTGTCGGTATAATCAACCAGTTCTGTGAGGATCCTGATGACCAGTGTTTTAAACTGTGTGTCTGAGAGTTTTGCTATTTCTTCATCGCTTAGATCTATGGGCTCTGGGGCTTTGAGATCTTGGGACATTTTTGGTCTGTTCTGGCCCTTTAAGTGTGAGAAGCGGTGCCTTGGACTCCCAGGTCGCTGGGTTGTGACGCTGTATGTGGGGGCGTGGTCAGAGCGGGGAAATGGCGCCCCCCTCTGCTGTTTCTCACAGCTGGGTGAGGATTAGCGTTTTAGGTGGTTCACCTGGGCCGGGCCACTCAGAGTCGCTGGGTTATGACGCTGTATGTGGAGGTGGGGTCAGAGCGGGGAAATGGCGGCGCCCTCCACTGCCGCTTGCCGCGGGTACCTGCCAGGTCCCGGTCCAACCGCCCACTCCCTCGCCTGTCCGCCCGCGCACAAATGCGCGACCACAGTCAACACGCAGCACCACTCCCCCGCTGTCTCCCTCGCAGTCGCTCACTAGGTCCAACCCTGCGCCTGGATTCTGCACGTCTGGATTCCGAGCCTGAGTCTGGCTGACTGAGACCTCCTGTGCAATCCCGCTTCACCAGCCGCTGGTTTCGCCCCTTACTGGTCAGGCTGAAGAATTTGTTGTTAACGGACTTCCGAAAAGTTCAATTTTCCGTGTTCTGGCTGTGTTTTCTGTTGCTAATATTTAGTTGTCTCTAAACTTGGTTGTGTGAGAAGGCACGGCACATCCACCTATGCCTCCATCTTGACGGAAGTCCCCCAATTCCATATTTTAAATACCAGTACTTCTAAGTCCTATCCTTTGCTTTCTTCCTTTCTGTAGTACAGCATCTTTGAACAATCTCATCTTCACATCTGTAGCTTAAGTTACCACATACCAGTTTGATGAGAGTCTTTAACTCTGTTTTTACTTTTGTGGGGAGAAACATTTGCTATGTTTTGGTTAATGCTTGGTTTATTAAATCTTTAGATTTTAATAATCTATAAAATTTTTTTCCCAAAAAAGGCTGTGCAGTGCAATCTCTTGTTCTCACCCTTGTTCCACCACCCAGTTTTCTCCTCTTTTGAGATAACCAGTGGTACAAGTTTGGTAATTCTAAGTGAATGCATACACACACATGTATATGTATATATACATATATGTGTATATATGCTATTTTTAAAAAGAAGTTATCTTAACATAAAGAACATCCTCATTCTTTATTTTACCATTGAATAGAATTCAATGGTAAATATATGGATGTGCCATAATTTACCTAACTAAACATTTATGTTGTTTTTGTTCTTTTTCTTTCTATCAAGAGTGCTATCCTGAATAATCTTGTACACACATCAGTTTACAATCATTCTTCTACTTAGTTATTTTGCACGGGGTTATTGGATACCTGTAATATAGCAGGCATGTGCTGGGAATACAGGTGTAAACAAAACGAATTCATCCTTGTCCCCATGTAGGTTCCATGTTCAAGTATATCTGTAGGATAAATTCCTGGAAATGAAATTTCTAGGTTAAAAGGGGATGGTATGGCCCTGGCTGGCATAGCTCAGTGGATTGAGTGTGGGCCTGTGAACCAGAGTATCGAGGTTCAATTCCCAGTCAGGGCACGTGCCTGGGTTGCAGACCAGTTCCCAGCAGGGGACACATAAGGGGCAACCATACATTGATATTTCTCTCCCACTCTTTCTCCTTCCCTTCCCCTCTCTCTAAAAATAAATAAAATATTTTAAAAAAAGGGGGGATGGTATGTACATTCATAGATATTACAAGATTTATCCCTTCATAAATATTGTTTCAATTTTTAATTCTACTGTCAATTTTTAGAGTGTTTTTGCTCTTTGTCTGCTAGGTAAAGGATTAAAAATTAATATTAAACTTACTTGAATTTCTTTTTAAAATCTATACTCTAGATTATAGATTATTGTTATAATCTATAATACAAATTGACCATGACTTTTTGTGAAGACTTCAAGTACTTTAAATAGTAGTTAAAATCAAATTCAGCTGTCAGAAAAATTTTCACTAAATTTAAAACCATAACCTATTCTAAAATATCTGCATAATGGGTTTGTCATTTCATTTTTATTGTTTCTGACTCTTCCAGGAATAGAGCAATACTTGGCTAGGTTATGAAAACCTTACAAGACCCAAAAGGAAAAAAAGGCAACCTTCTTAAACCACCCAAGATTATAAGATTGACTCCCCTCACCTTCCCTTCTTTGCCATAACTGAGATTTCTTCTTCCGTTGTGATTCAGACCATGGTAGAGGAGCTTTCGTATTGTGGTTCTGTTTGCTTTGATGAGAATAACACATAAATTTTACTTAATTGTAATGTAACCTGGTGCCTTTCCCTCAAACAATATATCCTCTTATTCTCTAAGCCAGTTCTTTTCAGTCTGCTAGTCCTTAGTCACATGTGACTATTTAAATTTAAGTTAATTGAAATTAAACTAAAAATTCAGTTTCCCAGTGACATCAGCCACATTTCAAGTGCTCGGTAGCCATTGTGTAACTGATAGCTATCATATTGGACAGTGCAGGTCCAGGACACATCTGTCATTGCAGAAGGTTCTGGATGGTTTTGATGTAGAGGCTTCATATCCTGGAGATTTGATGAGTTAGCTTTCCTCTTTAAGATGTCAGAGTATTTCATAATTTGCCAACTTTTTCTTGAATCTTCTTTCTACTTTGTTGTTGTTGATTTAAGTATTGGACACTTTTGAAAAGACTTGGTATGTTGTCTATAGACATGGATGTTCATTATTTGTTTCTGTTGTTGGTATAGTACCTTCTTAAACTAATGGCTTATTCATAGTTTCCTATTGAATATAGTTACCCTTCTTTCTACTACGCACATATACACTTTAAAAACAAGTATGCACTTAATTGAAAACTTTATTTATTGATACGCTTCCACTTATTTTTTTTGGTTTTCATATTTTTATTGGGGGCACAGCGAAGGGGCCCTCCTATCTATAGTGGAGCTATTCACGGTTTCTTCAGCCACTCCAAGCCTGGGCCCTTGGGATCTTGCAGGTGGCTGGGCACGTTGGGCTTATTCCCATCATCTCAGACAGGTACCGGATAGATGTAGGGTGCCATTTGGTTGATTCTTGTGGCAGGCATACTTGGTGTAGGGACTGAAGGGGACAGAATTATAGCAAGGCCCCCATGGTGATGGACATGACCTGCATTGGCTCTTTGGGCCAGGTGTTCTTGAGGAAGGCAGCAAGTCTCCCACATCCTGGTCTTGGCCCACTTCCACTTAAATCATTACAAGATTAATTAAAGAGATGGTACAGGTGTACATAGTGATAATGTGGATTCAGTTTTAGACCACCTCAACAGAGCAAGTCCCATGAATATTTTGGTCTTCCATTGCATATAAAAATTATGTTTATACTAAACTAGTCTTTTTAAGTGTGCAATAGCATCATGTCTAGAAAAACAAAATACATACCTTATAGAAAATACTTTATTGCTAAAAAGTGCCAACCAGCCTTCAGTGAGTCATTATCCTTTTGCTGATGGAAGGTCTTGCCTCGATGTTGATGGCTGCTAACCGCTCAGGGTGGTGGTTGCTGAAGGCTGGGGTAGCTGTGGCAATTTTAAAAAATGAGACAACAGCGAAGTTTGCTGCATGGATTGACTCTTCCTTTCATGAATGATTTCTCTGTAGTATGTGTTGGTTTGGTAGCATTTTACCAACAGTAGAACTTCTTTCAATGTCGGTGTCAGTTCTCTCAGACCCTGCCATTGCTTTAGCAGTTAAGTTAATGTAATATTCTAAATTCTTTGTTGTCATTTTAACATCTTCATAGCTTCTTCACCAAGATTCCATCCCAAGAAACCACTCTCTTTGCTTATGCATAAGAATTAAGTTCTCATCAGTTCAAGTTTTAGCATGAGAATGCAGCAATTCAGTTACATTTTTAGGCTATACTTCTAATTCTAGTTCTCTTATTATTTGTCACACTTGCTATTTGTACTTCCTCCACTGAAGTCTAGAACTCCTTAGTTAGTCATCCTTGAGGGTTGGAATCAACTTCTTCCAAATTCCTGTTAGTGTTAATATTGGGTTGGCCAAAAAGTTTGTTTAGTTTTTTCCATATGATGACTCTAGTAGTACTTAGTTGTCTTTAACTTTATTTGAAACAAATTTGTTAAATTGTGTTGTGACAGCTGTCATGTCAGCATGCATTTAAAAAATTATCAAAATTGGTGAATTTTTGTGAAGCCATTTTAGTGTTGAAGATGGAAGAAAATATGCAACATTTTCAGCATATTATGTTTTATAATTTGAAGAAAGGTAAAAATGCAACTGAAATGCAAAAAAGATTTGTGCAGTATTTGGAGAAGGTGCAGTGACTTTGAAACATGTCAAAAGTGGTTTGTGAAGTTTCTTGGTACTATTGACATTTTAACCAAATAATTCTTTGGTGTGGAAAGTCTTATACATTGGAAGATGTTTAGGAGCACCCCTGGCCTCTACCCACTAGAGAAGTCAGTAGTGGGAGATAGCCAACATACTTAAAATGTTCATATCAATAAAGTTATTGCTGAAAATGAGAAATGTGTCCCTTATTTTATGGAAAAAAACTAAATGGACTTTTTGGCCAAGCCAGTATTTTGACCTCTTTCCATGAATCATGAATGTTCTTGATGGCATTGAGAAAGGTGAATCCTTTCCAGAGGTTTTCAGTTTAGTTTGCCCATGTCCATCAGAGGAGTCATTGCCTATGGCAGCTATAATCTTATAAAATGTATTTCTTAATTAGTATGTCTTGAAAGTCAAAATTACCTTTGATCCATGGGCTGCAGAATGGATGTTGTGTTAGCAGGCATGAAAACAACATTAATCTCTTGGTACATCTCCATCAGAGCTCTTGGGTGATCAGGTGCATTGTCAGTGATCAGTAATAGGAACCTTTTTTTCTTGAGCAGGTCCCAGCAGAATACTTAAAATATTTAGTAAACAACACTGTAAACAATGTGCTGTCATCCATGCTTTTTTATAGAGCACAGGTAGAGTAGATTTAGCATAATTCTTAAGGGCCCTACTGTTGTAAGGAGGGAAAGTAAGCACTGGCTTCAACTTAAACTTACCAGCTGCATTAGCCCCTAACAAGAGAGTCAGCCTGTCCTTGGAAGTTTTGAAGCCAGGCGTTGACTTCTCTAGCTATAAAGGTCCTGTATGGCATCTACTTCCAATATAAGGCAGTTTTGTCTACACTGAAGATCTGTCATTGATACAGCCACCTTCATAAATCATGTTGGCTAGATCTTCTGGATTACTTGGTGCTTTACCTTGCACTTTTATGTTATGGAGATAACATAAAACCTTATGAACCAACCTCTGCTGGCTTCATACTTTTCTTTTGCAGCCTCCTCACCTCTCTTAGCCTTTATAGAATTGAAGAGAGTTAGGACCTTCCTCTTTATGCTTTGGCTTAAGGGAATGTTGTGGCTGGTTTGATCTTCTTTCCAGACTACTGTAATTTTTTCATGTCAGCGGTAAGGCTGTTTCACTTTCTTATCATTCATAATGTTTACTGCAACAGCACTTTGTTGGCTGTTGTGAAGTTTACATGAGCATGGGTGGGTGTCAGGTTGTCTGTGTATGTTAATGAAGTGGTTAGAATTCTCACTGCCTTCAGTCTCATATTTGGGTTCTCTGGTGGGTGGTGGGAAATGCTTCCAGCTTCTGTCTATACTCCTTTCCTCAGCTCTAGTCACTCCTCTGACTTGCATCTGCATATGCTATATAGCCAGCTGACTATCTCTCCTTAGTTCTTAGATCCATCTTTATTCTCTTTGTACAGTTGCAGATTGCTTCTAGACATTTCCAGAAGTTTCTTCACTTATGTCATCTAGTCCATCTAAAACAACTCATTTTCTTAAAATCTGTTTTTAATAAATTTCCAATAGAATCAGTTTTCAAGGCTGGTAGTTTTGACTTTGAATCTTTTATTCTTCCCTTTACCTCAGTTCTTTTTCCTTCAGTTAGTAATTAATTCCTACTAATTTTTTCTTCACCAGATATTCCCCATATATCTCATTTATTTCACTTAATATCTTAGTTTAGGCCTTTATTATCTCGTAGTCATGTTACTGCAGTTAACTTCTAATTGTTGCCTGTCTCCTCCTTCCCCTGATTCCTGGAATTAATTTTGCTGATAGTATGAAGCGAGCCTGAACCCCTTGTTCCCTTTCCTGAAAATCCCAATGTTATTGGAATGTGATTGAGCCTCCCCTTTTCTGTTCCCTGTGCTACACTAGCTGTACTCTTCTGTGACATTATTTTAATTCTAGTAATTCTTTTTTGTGGGGAGTGGCAGGCTTTGAAACAGCAGATAGCAGATTTACAGGAAGATTTGAAAAGAAAGGAAGCAAAATGGTCAAGTACACATGGCCGTCTTAGGAGCCAGATAGAAGTGTTGGTCAAAGAGAACACAGATCTCCGGGAAGAAATAAAAGTGATGGAAAGATTCCGACTTGATGCTTGGAAGAAAGTGGAAGCCGCTGAGGGCCTCACCAAGATCGATCAGTGTGGGACTGCCATGAAGAAAGAGGGGTCCATGGTAGGTTTGGAGACTAAGTGGCTTTGTCAGTTTAGGGGGGGATGTTAAATATTTGGGCAGTCAGATTCATAGAAACAGAAATTAGAAGGGTGGTTGTCAGGGCTGTGGGAAGGGGAGAATGCAGGGTTAGTGTTTAATGGGGACAGAGTTTCAGTTTTTGTAAGTTAAAGAGAGTTCTTTGGATGGATGGTGGTGACAGTTGCATGACAGTGTGAATGTACTTAATGCCACTGACCTGAGCACTTTTACACGGTTAAAGATAGTAAATGTTATGTTATATATATTTTACTGTAATTTAAAAAAATTTAGCCCTGGCTGCTGTAGCTCAGTGGATTGAGCATGGGCTGTGAACCAAAGGGTCACTGGTTTGATTCCTAGTCAGGGCACATGCCTGGGTTGTGGGCCAGGTCCCCAGTGGGGGCCACATGAGAGGCAACCACACATTGATGTTTCTCTCCCTCTCTTTCTCCTTCCCCTCCCCTCTCTAAAAATAAATAAATAAAATAGTTTTTTAAAAAGTTTCCCATGGGGATTTAAATTATTTTAAAAAATTGAGTATTGTTATACAGATAGTTTTCAAATTCATTTGTATAATTTTTATAAAGGGATTATTATAAACTGCGGGAGACAATCTGAGTTTAAGCAGGTCAAGGGAAGTGTTTGCAGAGAGTCACATTTGTGTGACCCTTTTGAGTCAAGTAATTGGTGTTTCATTCATCTGTTCACAACTTTGATTTGTCAGGCACTGCAGATAAAGAAAGCAGTGAACAAAATAGGCAAATATCCTTGCCTTCTTGGAACTTAATATTCCAGTGTTAGGAGAAAGATTAGAAATAATATAGATAAATAAAACATATGGTGTGTGACATGGTGGTGGAAACTAAGGAGAAAAAGCAAGAAGGGGGAATAGCTGTTTGGGATGTTGCAGTTGTAGGTAGGTAGGATGGCCAGGGAAGGCCTTACTGAGAAAACGACATTTGAATAAAGGCCAAAGAGCGTCTTAAGCCAGGCTGGAACCTGGGTGGAAATCAGAGCAGGCACAGGAGCCGTTGGCCTGTAGGCTGTCTGCTTGGAGGACCTGAGGCTGAGCAAGGCTAGAGGCTGGTACAGCGGGTCCTTGAATAGTGTCTTTTTGATACAAAGTTGATTCTAGGAACTTAACTCTTTTATCAGTTAGCCTGATAAAATTGCAGAACCTATCAAGGATGTTAAGTGAGTATTTACTGTAAGGCTGGAGCAGAGTAAGTGGGGAGAATAGTAGTGAAGAAATCAGAGTTAGGATGATGACTGGTGGCAGGTGCAGATTTTATTAGGCCTTAATATTTTCTGTAAGCACTTGGGCTTTTTCTCTGAGTGCAATGGGGAGTCCTTGCAGGGCTTTAATGGAAGAGGTGGCCTAATCCTTTATTTTTGTAAGCTCACACTCTATCGTAGATACAAGGGGGAGGAGAAACTATGGACCCAATCAGGAACATCAGAGGGGATTGTTGCAGTGATTCAGATGATAGTGGTTTAGATTGGGGGAGTGGCATTGGTGGGGTTGAGGACTGGATGGGATTTATTGATGAACCGGATGGGGGAGTGACAGCAAGAAAGGAGTCAGGAATGGCTTTCCAGTTTAGTGTAGTTTTTGCTTAATATAAGAGTTTCCATTTGTTGAAAGTCTACAAGAAGGCAGCACATATTGCTTAGGGCCTTGGACATTAGGAGCTCATGTGCAGACAAGGTGAGTTTCAAAGGCCAAGGAGATAATCATGTAGAGATGTTATACAGGGATCAGGGAAAGTCAGGCTGGAGCTTGAAGTGTGGGGTCATCAGCATGTGTGGTGAAGCTTTGGTATGAGAGAGGTGACTGAGGCCAAAAGTGAGGCTGAGGGTGAGAAGCTGGAGGTGAGGAGAACAAGCAACCAGGGTATAGGAAGGAAAGGAGGCTGGGTGGTGTCCTATGAGCCAAGTTGAGCAAGGCTGTTAAGAGTGTGATCTTTGGCATCAAAGGCTCCTGCTAAGTAAGTTGAGGAGTGAAGGTTGGTCATTGGATTTACCTAGCAGAGATGTTGAAATAAAAGCCCTACAGGACAAGAGGGAATGGGGAGAAGTTTCAGACAGGATATGAGAACTGTGTAGAAAAGTTTTACAGTAAATGTAAAGAGAAGGAGTGGTCGGCTATAGGGGACGTTATCTTTGTTTTTAAGATGGGGAATTAACAAGTGTTGGTGTATTGGTAGCATTGGTTCAGTAGAGAGGGAAAAGATGCAGGAGAAAGGGGGAGAGTTGTGGATGCGTTGTTATAAGTGAGGGTAAATGGGATTGAGGGAATGGGGAGGCTGGCCTTGGCCAGGAACATGGGCAGTTTGAGTCCAATAATAAGGTCCAAGGTCTGGACCCAGGGATAGATATGTGGTGCCAATGAGTAGGAAGTTCCCTCCTGATGCTTTAACTTTCTCAGTGAAGTGGAAAGCACGGTCCTCTACTGACAGTGAGGGTGGGGAACATGGGGGAAAGTGTGAAATAGTTGTCTAAGAGAGGAAAGCCAAGGGACTGGGAAGTGTAGTGAGTCCCGGGTGGCATTGGGGGCCTGTGGAGGTTAGAGATCACTATTTCCATCGAGAATGGCTTGCATTATTTTTTTTTTCTTGTTTGACTTTTTGGTGGTAGATGGGTGGAGAGTCATGTTTTAGGAAACGTGGGGTCATCAGGGGGAATACCACCCAGGAGAGAGAGGGGCTTGGAAGTTTACAGCATCAGTGACCCACAAGAATTTAAACTACTTATGAAAGGCATAGGCTACAAGGTTGTGAGGGACATAGAACACATGGATCAATGACTTGTAGGACCCTGTTGGCTATAAGCCTTGTTGGAGTTAGGGTATTAAAGGAATGAGCTGAAGGATAAGCTGTGGTAGTCTGAAAGTGGCATTCTCCGTTCCTCCTCAAACAGGTTTTTATGGAAGCTTCCCCAGGTAAAGGCATTTGAAAGAACAGTCTGATGAACACCTGCAGTACTTGCTTAGATTGAATCACTGTTAATGTTTTGCTGTATTATGTGTATGTACTTTGCTGGTCCATTTGAAGGTAATTTCAGAAATTATGGCATCTCACCCCTAAATACTTGAGCACTAAATGGCATTGGCTTTTTTAATAGACTAGGCTAATAATTTCATGCCTCACATCATGAATTCAAATGCTTTGAAATTAAACAGGTACCGGGAATTGAAGACAGTGATGATGACAGTTCTAGAGTTTCCCCATGGTAGTCTCAGACTGGAGGGAGAGTAGTAGGTCAGGAGATGGAAACTACAGGGCTAGAGTATCATCAGGAGAGGAGGAGTGCATGGTGGATGAGTACATGGCCGTAAGACTTGGAGCCGGGCGTGGGTGGGTAGGGAGGGAAAGAGATTTGGTTGGGAGCAGTGATGGGGAGCAGGGTAGACAAGTGTCCTACCTCTAAATCTCGGGTTGTGAGCTCTGAGGACCCTGAGAAACCTCCATCCTTGCAAGGAACAGTGGTGAGCAGTCTTCTCAGTGGGAGTTAGAGGTTCAGTTAGAGCAGGACAGTGATGGAAATATTCACTGGAGAGGCCAATATAAGGGGGTTTTGCTGATGGTGACTATGAGGTCCTGCCCTCTTCTCTGATTAATCTGGTATCAATCACAGAAGACTATTTCATTTTACTTTGTTTGTTATGCCTTTAACTTGAGGATTGAATGTATTTCCAGGTGTGGGGCCTGTGTGTGTATGTGTTGTTCACTCTGGTCTCTAGTGACAAATGAAAACAATGTAAATGAACATACTTAAAATATTCTCATTGCAAGCTGAGTTCTGTTAGTCTCATTCATTGTACTAATATGTAGACTAACACTAATTTTATATTCAATTATCTCCTATAGAATTCATCAGTTCGAATTCAGAAGAGACAAAATTCTGCTGGAACCCAGCTAGAACGATACAAGAAAAATAGTTTGGCCATACAAGGTAAGAAGTTGCATGATCTTTTAAAAAGACATTTCAGGAATTTAAAGAATAGAGGATTTATACCCAACCTAAAAAATAAAACACTCAGTATAATTGATGCCCTGTGTATCCCACTCCTCCACCAAATTTCCACCCTCATGGTATTCCCATGCTCATTTCTCATTCTTTTACTATATTGTGTTGATAAATCAAGAGTATTTTTTCCACAATTTATGTTATCCCTCTGCAATTTGCTTTTTTCTCTTCATATTTTAACACTTACCACATTAACTCTGGTTTATTGATTTGAATAGCTATACATATTCCATGTGTGTTTTCCTGGCTGAAGGGCATTCAGATTTTCTCAGTTTGTCAGTAGCATGCACAGGGCTACAGAAAGTCTTGATTATGTGAATTTCTTTGGAGTACTTGTCAAGAGTTGGATGTTGGGTCATAGCAGCAGCTTTGTGCAAGTGCAGGAGGTTTTCCTTTTGCTCTGCCAAGTGGTTTTACTAGGTATGGCTTTTTTGTTGTTGTTTGTTTTTAAATTATACTATTAGCAGAATGTGCTGTGCTTGTCAACCCTTGAACTGGTCAGACTTCACAATTTTGGCCAATCACATGGGTGTGAAATAGTGGGTAAGTGTAATTTTAATGTCGTTTCCTTGATTAGTGGTTAGGTCATGTGGGCATCAGTTTGAATAGCTACTGAGCATTTAGATTTCCTCTTTTGTGGCTTGCCTTTTCGTCTCATTTGTAACTTTGAGAGGGGGTAGGGTGTGCGTGTTTCTCTTCATTGAAGTTAGTTATTCTGTGCACTAATCCTGTCAGTTAAAAGCACTGCCAAAATCATCGCACTATCCTGGTGGAGCCTTTCAGTTTGTGTTTTTCACATACATGTTTTTTCTTTTAATATTGAATTTATCAATCTTTCTTCGTGATTTTAGGAAATACTCAATGTTTAGTCACAATATACCATTTTCTCCTATGAAGTTTTGTTTTCACAACTCGGTCTGCCTGTAATTTTTAGAACTTGTTTTTGTGAATTAAATTTAGAAAAGTGGATATAACATTTGCATCTTGACAATATAAAGGAAAAACTTGAAAAACCACTAGCTAAATCAAGAAATAGATAAGAGGCATTGAGAACCAACCTTTCCATGACCATATCACAGTGCTTTTCCTTGTAGTTTCCACTCCCATAGGTGTAGCCCTGAAAAAGTATTTTACTTGTTTTTGAGCTTTCTGAACAGTCATACTGAGCATATGCATACTTCATTTTCATCTTTCACTATACATTGCTGTTGAGATTCAGTCATCTTGATCTGCAGCTCTGGTTCATGAATTTTCACTGTCAGGTAGTATTCCATGTATGAATACAGTACAATTTACTTTTCTCTTTTGATGGTTTTTTTTTTTTTTTTTTAAGTTTCAGGATGTTACGCAGTGGTGCTGTGAACATTGTTATACATTTCTTGGTGTGCATGTTAATTTCTCTAGGGCATATACGTAGGGCTGGATTACTGGGGAATTGGGAGGAATACCTTTAACACTGTTAGATTTTGCTAAAATATTTTCCAGGGTGATTTTACTTTCTCATCACCAATGTTAAGTGCTTGCTTTACTCCAGACCTTGTTAATACTTGCTATTGTCAGACTTAAATTTTTGCCATCTGGGAGTAGTGTAACAGTGTCTCATCATAGTTTTAATTTGCATCACCCACATGACTAATGGGTGATGTGGGTTGACAACCTTTGCCTTTGTTTATTCCTTCGACAGCTCTATTACAGATATCTTCTCCCAGTGTAGGGTTTGTCTTTTTTGCTTTTTATATAATCTTTTGTTGAACTGAAATTCTTTTATCTTTTTTAAATTAAAATATATTTGATATATAACATTGTAGAAATTTGTTTACAGAATATTGATTTGATACATTTATATGTTATCATTACTTGTATAGCAATAATTAGTACCTCTATCATTATTACATAACTGTCATTTCTTTTTAGAGGTTGGAATATTAAGACCTGGTCTTTTAGTAAGTTTGGTGATTATAATATGGTATTATTGCCTACATTTCACTATACTGTGCATTAGAACTCTAGGATTTATGTTCCAACTTCATACCCTTCAACATCTCTCCTATACTCCCAGCTGCCAGTCCTTGGTAACCAGCATTTCATTCTGTTTTTATGAGTTTGCTTTTTTAAAACATTCCACATATAAGTGATGTCACACAGTATTTGTCTTTATCTGACTTGTCTCACTTAGCATAATGCCCTCAAGGTTTATCCACATTGTTGCAAATGGCATGATTTTCTTCTTTATCATGGTTGAATGATGTCCCGTTGTTTATATGTGCCCCTCTTCATTATTTATTTATCCGTTGATGGACACTTAGGTTGTTTCCATACTTCGCTATTGTGAATAATGCTGCAGTGAACATGGGAGTGCAGAGATCTCTTCAGATCCCGTTTTCATTTCCTGTTCTTGAATATAGACCCACGAATGGAAGTCCTGGGTTGTATGGTAGTTCTATTTTTAGTTTCTTGAGGAACCTCCATATTATTTTCTATAGCAGCTGCACCACTTTACATTCTCGCCAGCAGTGTAACAGGGTTCCCTTTTCCCCACATGCTTGCCAACACTTATCTCCTGTCTTATTTTTTTAAAACAGATTTTATTTATTTTTAGAGAGAGGGGAAGGAAGTGATAAAGAGAGGGAGAAAAACATTGATATGTGAAGGAAACATCCATCAGTTGCCTCTAACACACCCCCAGCCAGGGGTCTGGCCCATAATCCAGTGCCCTGACTGAGAATTGAACTGGTGACTTTTTTGTTTGTGGAATGATGTCCAGCCCACTGAACCATACCAGTCAGGGCCTGTTTGTCTTCTTGATGATAGTCATTCTGGCAGTTGTGGGGTGGTATTTCATTGTGGTTATTGATTTGCATTTCTCGGATGATTAATGATGTTGAGCATCATTTATGTACCTGTTGGCCATTTGGATGAGTTTTGGAAAATGTCTAGTTTCTCTGCCCATGGTTTTTTAAAAAAGATTTTATTTCTTTATTTTTAGAGAGAGGGGAAGAAAGGGAGAAAGAGAGGGAGAGAAACATCAATGTTGCCTGTCATGCACCCCCTCCTGGGGACCTGGCCCACAACCCAGGCATGTGCCCTGACTGGGAATCAAACCAGCAACCCTTTGATTCACAGTGCACCACTCAATCCACTGAGCCACATCGGCCGGGGCTCTCTGCCAATATTTTAATTGGACTGGTTCTTTTGGATAGTAACCCCTTATTGAATATATGGTTTGCAAAAATTTTGTACCATTTGGTAGGTTGCCTCTTTATTTTGTTGATTGTTTCCTTTGCTGAGCAGAAGCTTTTAAGTTTGATGATTTTTGATTTGTTGATTTTTGGTTTTGTTTGTGCCTATGGTATTGTAGCCAAGGATATATTGCCAAGACCAGTGTTGAGAAGCATATTTTCCATGATTTCTTTAGAAGTTTTATGGTTTCATGTCTTATGTTTTAAATCTTTGATCCATTTCAAGTTAACTTTTAAGAGTGTTATGGGTAGTGGTCTAATTTCATCTTTTCTTTGTATGGTTATCCAGTTTTCAGAACACCATTTGTTGAAGAGACTGTTTTTCATTGAATGTTTTTGACTTCTTTGTTAAGTATTAGTTCACCATATATGTGGAGGTTTGATTTTGAGCTCTCTATTATGCTCCATGGGTTTGTGCATCTCTTTTTATGATAGTACCATACTGTTTTAATTATTATAACTTTGTAATATAGTTTGAAATCAGGACTTGTGTGACCTCTGGCTTTGTTCTTTTTTTCTCAGGATTGGTTTGGCTATTTGGGGTCTTTTTTCATTCTATACAGTTTAGGATGTTTTTAAATTTCTATTTCTCTCTCCATTATAATTTTGATGTGGATTGTGTTGAATCTACATGGCTTTTAGTAGTATGGCTATTTTAACAATATTACTTCTTCTGATCCATGAATACGAGATATCTTTCCATTTGTGTCTTTTTGATTTCCTTCAACACTGTCTCATAGTTTTTGTCTTATAGATCTTTACCAGGTATTTTTTGTTGTTGTTGATGTTGCTGTGAATAGTATAGTTTTATTTTTTCAAGTGTTTCATTGTTAATGTACAGAAGTGAAGCTGAGTTCTGTGTATTGATTTATATCCTGTAATTTTACTGAATTTGTTGATTAGTTCCAATAGTTTTTTTTAATCAAATCTTTGGGATTTTCCTTTTCTTAAAATATATTTTATTGATTATGCTATTACAGTTGTTCCATTTTTCCCCCATTTAGGCCCCTCCTTTCTGCATCCCCCTCCTACCTGCATTACCCCTCCTTAGTTCATGTCTATGGGTTGTACATATAAGTTCTTCGGCTTCTCCATTTCCTATACTATTCTCTTAAGAGGTTTTTTTTTTTTTTTTTGGAGGTAGAAAGTATTTAATCTTGTTTAAGAAAATCCAAATGGTAACCCCACTGACAATGGATTTCATCATATAACTTTATTTGGGATATGAAGTCTTTAAAATGCTAAATGCCAAATGATTTCTTCTTCATGGACCTTTCTTGAATTGCCTTGCCCTCAAAAATTAAAATACTATTTGAAGGCAATACAGTGAAAGCAAGAGAAGTTCTTTTTTTAAAAAATATTATTTTAGGCCCTGGCTGGTGTAGCTCAGTGGATTGAGCATGGGCCTGCGAACCAGACAATCGCGGTTCGATTCCCAGTCAGGGCACATGCCTGGGTTGCAGGCCAGTTCCCTGCAGGCCAATTCCCAGCAGGGGACACATGAAAGGCAACCATACATTGATGTTCCTCTCCCTCTCTCCTTCCCTTCCCCTCTAAAGATAAATAAATAAAATCTTTAAAAAAAAATATTATTTTAGGCCCTGGCTGGTGTAGCTCAGTGGATTGAGCCCAGGCCTGTGAACCAGACAGTCGCGGTTTGATACCCAGTCAGGGCACATGCCTGGG